AGTTGTTCACATCATTGTTTTTTATCTAGGGATACTTGAGTCATTCATACCATTGGCAATCATTACACATTGCCTTATAATGTTCATTTTCATACACTTATTTCAATAAGAAATACACCAGTTATAAATGATCAAAATGCTGTATTAGTGAAAATATCCATGTATTTAGCGTATTTGATAAATATTCAAACAGATAGACGTTACTCAAATGGAAACTATATAGTTCGTGATAGAATAATTGATGTTGCACTATTTATACAAAACCATTCAAAGAAATGAATAAAATTGTGTTAAAATTTCACTTTCAGATATATTTTAATTGAGACATCTCATATCTCTGTTAACTTCGAATTAACGCCCCTTTTCATTTCTAGATCATTTAGAAACAATTAGTCAAACAAATATTTATCCTCAGCCATCATATCCTTTTTGTAAATCTTATATTGCTAATGATTTATGTTGTTTTCAGTTTCTCTTTTTCTGTATTTCTTAAAAAAGAAGTGAAAAATGCAAAAAATGCAAAAAAAAAAAAACAAAAAACAAAAACAAAAAAACAAAACAAAAACCGTATTAATAGTTTTTCGAGGGCAATAACTCTTATAAGAATTTAGCTAGATGTATCTATGTCATTATTACGACAAAGTAATGTCGTTATTACGACACAACAATGTTGTTATTATGTCTTTGTATGTCGAAATTACAACATAAATCATATTTCAATGTGGCTCTAACCGGCTTCCGTAGAAGTTCATACAGCATTTATCTATGTTGGTGCAAGAGGAATGAAGATAAAAAGAAAACTATAAATGTTTGACCATATACAGAACAAAAATGTTCCTGAATTAAAATATAGTCCTGTCCCTCTAACATTCAAAGTATTGCACAATATCGCTAGCTAGCGAAATGATTAATTTTTTTAGTATCCTGCAGGTTGTCGTTCACTCCTCAAATATTTATTCCATCTACAATTAAACATAAACATTAGCTCAGTCTTGGCCTTTCAATTCTAAAACTAGACATATAAATTCAAACCCAAATCTTAATTGAACAAAAAAAAAGGCATTAGAAATCTAGACCCAAGGCTCCGTGTTGAAGGCCGTACTTTGACCTATTATAATAATTGTTTACTTTTTACTAGGGATGTCAACTCAGTGAAGATTTACTAATCGAGTACTCGTTGGATTTACCGAGCGATACTCGAGTACTCGCTCGAAAAAACATCTGCAAAATGGAAACACATACCCATTTTACGTATTGTGGGACGTTGTCTTATGGACGTAAAACCCGCAACATTATTACCCAGGACTAGATAATAGTCCAAAGAATTTTAAACCACAATTAATAGCTCATTTACTACATGTACTAATTATGTAAATTGGCAATAATCTAATCAATTAATTAATAAACATCTATAGAAAAACGATTACTCAAACAATAGTATTTGGTAATCATAAAAATTACATTTAATGACAAACAAAGAGGTGATGATTAGAACTTGCTGATGCCTTTCACCATTTTCTGAGGGTCGACACAGGGTGCAACGAATTTGTTCTTATTAAGAAATATTATCTTGTCAACTTTTCCTGTGACGAATCGATTTCTCAACATTGTTACGTAACTAACAGTCCTGTTAATGAAAATATTTGCTCTGATGGTACAGAGGAGGTGGAATGACAAATAAAAGATTAGCTAAAAGTGTAAGCCTTGGAAAAGTGCCCTTGTTCATAGCCTACCTATGTTCGGAGGAATTTTAAATGACAATTAAACGCAAACATTCGAAACGTATTATAATTTTGATTAATATTTAATTTCCCTGGAGGCGCTCTTAATAAAAATATCATTTCTCTAAGAAGGCAACAACATTCTAACAGGAAACCGATTAGTCGAGTATCATTTTGGTATTCGATACTCGGTACTACCGAGCGATACTCGAGTACTCGTTGACATCCCTACTTTTTATACATTGTGACTTGGTAGAGAGTTGTCTCATTGGCACTCATACCACATCTTCTTATTTCTACCTAAAGGAAATTTATTGAATTTAGAATACACGTCTCCTTATTCTTTACATTTACATTCTATTAAGATATCAAAACGATTCTAAATACAGGTAAAACACACATCGACATCATTCTCGTTTCTCTCCATCACTCTTTCTTTCACTTTTCATGTATTTCAGTTAAGCTTCGTAATATTACCGTTGTCCTTATTGTATAATACATACTTACTTCAGTGTTACTGTAAAATGCGTGTCCGCATGAACTTTCTTTCAAAAGATAATCCTTTATCTTATCAAAATCTTCAGAAATGTACTGCTTTTGAATTATTGTCTTCCCGTACTCTTATTCGCCGATAGCTTTTCCGTATGCAGCTACCTTAACATAGAAACATCTTCAGTTCTTCTGCAACCACAACCACACAGCGCAAATCGGAGGGAAACACCGTGATGGAAGAAAGGGTACGCAAACTTGGAAGTTAGGAAGTGTTAATTGATTCTGAAAGAAAAAAAATCATACACCAAATAATTCAACAGCTGTTATCACGAAGAGTAACATACAAAAGAAACGCTTGGAAAATGTATATAAAAAAATCAAACATCGCTTTTGTAACGGGGCTCTATTCTGCATGTGTGTATTTTGATTTGATTTTTGATTTTTGGTGTTTTAACGCCACTTTTAAGCACCGCTTTTGAGCTATTTCCTGGCGGCCAGTTTTTATTGGTGGAGGAAGCCGGAGTGCCCGGAGAAAACCACCGACCTTCGATAGGAAAACTGACAATCCTAGTCAATTAAGATTGGAGTCGAGTGCACCCGCACGAGCGGGGTTCGAACTCACAACCTCAGTGTTGACTGGCTAGTGATTACAGTAGTAACTACTTAGACCACTCGGCCACCGAGACCGCCTGTGTGTGTTTTGTAACTTGTCATTATTTCGGATCTATGTATCCGGGATCGATTAATCCATGTGTTGGACGTTAACATAGGGAACCAGCTATAATGTAAATGTTTCTCCATAAGCTAACTACTGTCTATACATAAGTCTATTTAATGTTCACATGTTTAATGGTTATAGATCTTCATATAACAGTACATGCATTATACATAATAAAATGCTTCGCCGAGCGCAGCCTGATACGACCGCAGAGGTCGAACCCTGAACAGTTGGGACAAGTTTAGACACAATATTCAAGCTTGATACTGTCTGAATTTGGATTGTGATCAAATTTTTGACATAATATAGGTTTCTGACACAAAATAAATGTGGTAAAAGATCTTAAAAACTTAAAATGGAACATTAAATTTACCAAGTATGGTCTGATATCCAAAATCTAACAACATGGTTAGATTCAGCATATAAAAAAAAAACAATAAAAATTTTAATTTTAGTTGAAATCAAACAAAGTTTAATTTTGAACCCTTCAAACCTTAATATGGACTAATTTCAAAACAGGGCCCAAAATAAATAATCTAAATGCACAATAAGATTCAGCATATCATAGAGCCGCAATAATTCAGTTTTTGATGAAATCAAACAAGTTAATTTTGGACCCTTTGGACCTCAATGTAGACCAATTTAAAAATGGGGCCCAATATCCAAAATAGTAATACAAGGTTAGAACCCCAAAAATTAAAGACTTAATTCAATCCCATTGAAATTGGTTAAAAGATTTGTATTTATTTTCAATTGAAGATTTCTTGCTATTGCGTAGTACTGTGCTATTGCGCAATACTGTGCTGTTGCACAATACTTAGTTAATCTGTTATATATAATAATTTACACACCCTGTTTGGTGTGTATCTCCTGTTATATCAGTATATGTTGCTTTTATATAAATCAGAAATAATCAATGTAAATGGAAACATTTTGTGGAAAAAAACAAAAAAAATTATGAAAAAATAAATTTCCTCCAAAAATGTGTCCCCCTAAAATTTTTTTTTTTAAAATCTTGCAGAAAAAAGTATGAACCTCAAAAAAATATTGAAAAAAAATCCCCCTCCTACAAAATATTTTTCAAAAATTTTGAAGAAAAAAAAAATGAACCCCCAGAAAAAAATTTGTAAAAAATCATCCCAAACTCTTTGACCCCCCCTCCCGATTTTTTTTGAAATTTTGAAGATTATTTTCTTTTCAGGAAAAATGTACAATTTCAGAGAGTTTCATAAACTTTAACACAAGTTATTGTCTGGAAACTAGAAAAATGCTTGTTTTTGCCCCCTTTTTTGCCCCTAATTTCTAAACGTTTGGGGCAATTACCCCCACACTCAATCCCAGCCTTGCATATATACAACATATGAACAAACTATAAAAATCAGTTGAAAAGGGCTTAACACAAAGCACAGAAACAAGTAACACAAACACAGAGTGGACGTGGCATGGTACTTATACATCCCCACAACAAAAAGACTCTTAGTACAGAACTGAGAGTACTCGCAGTTACTGACAGCTAGTTCAAAGCCAATAACAACTAATTGAAAAATCATGCATCTAAGACTAAAATTGTTTATTAAGACTTCGGCAATGAAACATGATAATTAAGTAGCAGGCAAAGTTTTTCACTGAATGAAATCCTTTTTTGTCAATTACTAGTATATGTTATTGATTCGTAATGAATAAAATAATGTGAAAACAATGTAAAAACAAATCGTGCATAGAGGACTTAGTTTAGTATATAAACATGCGTTGGTTCAATAATTTCCTTAATATTGTACATGTAATTTTAAGAAACTCGTTTCATATGACTTTAAATGTACTGTTATAAGGATTGTATCGTAGAGGAGACTTGATACGTATGTTTTACGTACTTTGATCCAAAGAAATATACTAGGCAACAAAAGAAACGATACAATATTATAATAAGATGTGGTATGATTGCCAATGAAACAACTGTCCATCAAAGTTCAAATGAAGTTACTGTAAGGCAATCATGAATCTTCGCAAATGAAATTGGTGTTTTTCATTGGATAATTAAACAGTGTTTCCTATCTATCATATTTTATGATAAATTGGAGTCCAGACTTGTATATTGTCACTTTTGTTGACTAGTATATATATTTAAGCTATCAAGTTTCGCCTTATCCAGCGTGACCTATAAAGGCTAAAAAAGATCAAACGACAATTGTGTTTTCACCGTAGAGGTAAGTAAATTACAAACGTTTATTCTAAGGACACCGTTAAGCTGACTGACAACCAATTGAAAAATATATAAAGACACAAGCAATCATAAACCCAATACTAAAAAGATTTATACATCAAATAAATACCTTGAATCACAAGGAATTTCAATGCATAATACAGTCATATATATCAGAGATTTTACCCAAGAAATTAACATTGATGTACCTAAAACTAAAATCTAAAAGATGTAAAAAAAAATAACAACTAAAGACTTGAACAAAGAAGGTTTTAAGCAACTTTTATTCGGAATTGATCGAAAATAAGATAAAAACAAGAATTAGAGAACTTACCAATAGAAAAAGTTCGATGACTTAATTTACCCGGAATCAAGGAATATGTCTTTCCTCTTAGCCCATTAGGTTCAAGTGAAAATTGAACCATACTTTCAAATGGGAACGTTGGTTTTAATGAAAACAAAAAAATATTATTGACACACAATTATTATCTATTTTTTTATTTGTATTCATTTCTTATTTACCTGTTGTTTTTTTCAATATGTCACCAAATTCTATGTTGAGTATATTAAAGCAAACACGCTTAATATTACCGGCAGATAAACAAGCACACACAACTGACTTGCATTCATTGTGTGCAATTAAAAACTTTAAAAAACCTATGTTGATTGATATAGACCAGTACAACAATTTACAGTTGTTTAAACTAATATAATTATATAGCCAAATGTTGTGTTGAAAATTAGATAAATAAAGATGTTGCTTCCTTCATGTCATTTATAGATCCGGTATGTGACCTAGCTAGATTTCCGATTTAAGGAGGATTGTCACTGGAATTAACCTTTCATTGAGGAAGTACGTCTAAACACTTTAGAATTGTTTCATACATACAGTTTCCTGTTTAACACATTGATTTTTATATAAGATTTGAATTTCTATACATACACGACTTCTGTAATGGTGTTGACGTTTTAAATAGAGGTACATTTCCATGTTCAGTTAAAAATCGTTTATTTGAATGTAAAACTTTTTATTTAGGAAGTATTTATACTTCTTTACTATATTTCACTATTATAGAAAACAGGTATTTAAACAATTTTAGTCGAATGAGATGACTAACATTTGTATGTTATGCATAATTAGTATTTAACTATATATTTGAAATTTGTCAAAGGGTTTTCGGGTCGAGGTCGTGTCGTAAAGTTTGGCTTCGAAGGACACAATAGAATATCCGCCATGTAGGTAATTTATCCGTCATTTTTTAAATTTTGATTATATTCTCCTTGACTGCCGTCTCATTCTTAAAAAAATATATAGGTTTTGATAATATTGATTTTTTTCTATCCACCCTAAGATTCGCATTGGACCGTTTGCATTTTACTTCATCAGTTGAACATAGAGTTGAACATGTACATAGTTTGCGCTGTTTTAAAAAAGAATATTTTCATATTTTAACAAAATATTCCTTCTATGGAATTCAAAATATAACTTGGCTTTCAAAGTCATTCATTAATTTTTCCATGCTTGACGGTTTGGATATGGCTCATGGCAGCGGCCAAGTTTGTGATACAGATATAATCATATTTCATTCAAGTCATTAAAATAAAACTTAATCCCGAGTTATGCAATCTTTTGTCATTTTCTTGTGTTTTTGTTTAGTATTCCGTTTTACCCAAGATGTGAATTGTGAAATGTTAACCTCTCTCAAATCTATTAGGAACTGCCAGGAGAACTGTATGGCTATTTACCAAGATACAGTTTTTGACAGTTCTTACCGTGAACTCTTTCTGATAGTTTTACCCAGAAACAGATTATGACAGTTTTATCTCTAGAACAGTTTTGGACAGCCATATATAGGAAATTGTTTATCTATTTAATTAATCTAACTCATTTTAAATAATTCATTTTATTCGTTAATTTATTTATTTACAAATATAACGGTTTATATAGAAAAAAAAAACAACACTTTATAAATTGTATGCGTCTAAAGCACGTTTTGGGATTTACCTTCATCAGGAAAAGTTCAAAGCCGAATATTTGAGAGCCAATGCTGTATAAAAACCGAAACAGCTGAAGAGCTGTAGTGTATATCAATAATGGACCTGAAAATAATAGCCTAATACAATTAACAAGAAACGGAATAGAGAATTGAGAAAAAATTAATAAAATAAAGTAAAAAAAAACCCAAAAAATGAAATACTGTAATAATAATAATAATCTTTATTCTCATAAACCATAAGTTACAACGGTCAATAGGTCGTTATTTAGAAATGAGGCTGAACATCGCAGCTGAGTTAAAATTATACGCAATTACCGCGGACCATACATGAAATGCTTAGGTACAGTCTTTGTTTCGTCAAGTGTACGGATAGAATTATCAAGTTTGTTCCATTCTCTGATGGACGATGGAATAAATGCAGATTTTGTTAAGGATAGTCTACAAAAGGGGGCTATTAAATCATTGCTATTACGCAGTGGATAAATAGTTGTACTTTGTACAGTTGGTGGAATTAAATCACATAAATATTGTGGAGCGAGACCATTGACTATCTTATAAAATAATTGGGATTTTCTTCTGTACCTCCTACTGTGTAAGGAAGACTTGTAATAAATCGTGTCCGTACTGACTACATCAAGCTGATACATAAACAATGTAGATATCTATTTCTTTGCGTATTTAAATTAAATACCACAATTTCCTTTTCATAAGAGTCAGCAGAACGGGGTAAACAATGGAGTTGTTAAGTTATTGTAGTAACTGTTATATTCCATTACTCCACGAGTGAACTGAGAGATCGATTACGAGGAGGGCCTGAATTATTGCGTTTTTATTGTGGTGTGAATTGAGAGCATATGTAAAAGTAATTTACGGAGAGATTTGCGACATAGTATGATTATTCAAAGATGTTTAGAGACTATAATGTTGTTAGACAATCAAAGTTCACTAACGAAGCTGTCATACAGTGAATTTGAGAGAATATTGGAAGACTTCTGGCGTGAAATTAATTCATGGGAATTTGGTTCTACTCTTTGATAGGTCGAAAATATAGTTTCACCTTTAAACCATATATTGTGTTGAACCTCAAACTTATACGAACAGGTGTTAGATATGTCCTTAATTTGCTGTATAAAATGTGATAACAGGGGAAGGGAGATGAGGGTAAAACCCATTATAAGAATAGATTATGACTAATGTACTGTTAGAATGGCCTACTTTTTTTGGAAATTTCTCAAACAGATTTTTGTCATATACCTGACTTGTTACAACTTCTTTCCATGTTGTCCGGTTATAAATATAAAACTTATTAAGAAATTAGAGTTTCACTCCCCGAGACAAAGTTGACCTAAGATGGATTTACTCCCCCAGACAAAGTTGACCTTAGATGGATTTACTCCCCCAGACAAAGTTGACCGTAGATGGATTTACTCCCCCAGACAAAGTTGACCTTAGATGGATTTGGCTATTACATAGATCCTTTTTGGTCGTATAGCTCTTCTTCTGTGTCGGTACCTATACATCCTTGGCTGTCAAATATTTGGCTTTGAGCGTTCCTGATGAAGGTAAATCCAGAAAAGACCTAAGCTTAGGACGCATAAAGTTTTTAAAGTGTTATTTTCATTTTTTTTAAAGTTCCGTTTCCTAGAAAACTATGACAAATATCACTGATATTTCATCAGTAGGGCTTATTCCTGTTTTAAAGTAGGGTCACTGTGACTCGAGAGGATAAAATAAGTGAAGAGTTTGGACTTGTTTTTTTATTTTTTTTCTGATTTCGCTCAACTTCCCTAGATATCGTCACTTGTGGAAGATAAATGACAATTTGTAACTGTAATATAACTGAAGTGGACTTACAAAGTTTAAGTACAATCCCTTAATATTTCCTTATTCAAAAATAGTTGACAAATCCTACAAAAAAATCATGTCACAAAATATATCTAATGATATTATCATACTGAACATGAAATATTTATTTCAGGTTGCAAATACGACGGAAGATAAATGAACTTGCACTTTCGAAAGTTCTATTTAATCTTGATACCTAGCTTTAACCTGATTTGTCGAATCTTTCTATTACATTCAACCAACCACAAAAGATTTTTTCTTGAAAGCTAAAAAAAAAAAACCAAAAAAAAACACTTTCTTTGCACTGAAAATGATGACTCGATCAGTGGTTGTTTATTTACTTCCTTTTATTGTTTTTTTTATATTAATTCATAGAAAGTGTATCCATATAGTTGTTTTTTTCTTTGAATAGAATAAACTATGAAACCTTTGTATATTGTCAGCTGCTGTAGTTGGCACGGTTAGTTAGCTAACTTCTGAAGTTACGACTGGTTCTTAATTGTGGTTTTAGTAACAATGATATGAATGTCGTGTGTCGTATGTAAGTAACAATGATATGTGTGTCGTGTGTCGTATGTAAGTAACAATGATATGTGTGTCGTGTGTCGTATGTAAGTAACAATGATATGTGTGTCGTGTGTCGTGTGTCGTATGTAAGTAACAATGATATGTGTGTCGTGTGTCGTATGTAAGTAACAATGATATGTGTGTCGTGTGTCGTGTGTCGTGTGTGGTTTTAAGTAACAATGATATGTGTGTCGTGTGTCGTGTGTCGTGTGTGGTTTTAAGTAACAATGACATGTGTGTCGTGTGTCGTGTGTGGTTTTAAGTAACAATGATATGTGTGTCGTGTGTCGTATGTGGTTTTAAGTAACAATGATATGTGTGTCGTGTGTCGTATGTAAGTTAGAATTAATCTATTTATCTATAAATTTGTTTCCTTTTGTTTATTGTTGTATTGTGTACTAAACAAAAACATAGTGTTTTATTCCAAAACTTTGCTATGATGAAAAACTTGGCAATGATGAAGAGTATTCCAGGAATATATACCATGATATCATACTAAAATTTCAACGGTAATCAAATGTATATAAACTGATAAAAGCTTATTAATTAATACAATGACAAATTGGCTCCAATTTGAAATATGGTAGACGTTTATTATAAACTATTCAACCGGAAGGTAAGTTCACAAAAAGTTGATTACAAATTTGACATTTTATTTCAATAATGCTTTAGCTAGAAAAGGTAATTTGATAATTTACGACTGGGATAAATGTTTGTTACCGGTATGGATTTAATATTCATGGGTACAGGTTAAATTGCAGTATGTTATATTATTATTTTACTAATATATTATCATTTTCATCTGAACTGTGTTTCTAGTGCAATATAATACTTACTAGCACTATATTGTCTCTGTATGACACACTATATTAATCTAATTAAGAATTTCTTTATTTCAGTGTATTTCCATCAGCTTGAACCTTATTTCTAGGGATAATCAGTCCGTGATGTTGATAGGGAACGTCGCAAATTCACTTATAGTATTTACAAATGCAAAAAGTAGAATTTTATACAGGTTTGATCGATTGATTGCTGCTTGCTAACATCAAGTGACAAATTCCTCATGCATATTTAGGACAATAAAAAAATAACAATAATCCACTGAATAGATAGGTTCTGCAGAGTGGTTAGACCAGGATGAGCTCACGAGCTTAGTTTCGACTGCAGCTAGAACTGTAGAGCATGTTAGACAACGACAAAAGTTTTGTCTTGCATTAGGCCCCCTATGGACCCCTGGCAGAGTTGTTTCAAGTGTTCTGCACTCTCCTTTTATCAGGTTTATGGTATCAATTCCAACTGGACTTGGTTGCATATTTATACACTCCGTACAGCCAAATGAACCCCACTTATAGGCATGGGACTTGCTGTTTGATAAAGTCTGGTAAAGAGTACGTACCGGTACATCACGCGATGCCAAACAAACACCCCCTTCGACAAAGGATTTTCTGCGCACGGGAGAAGTTTATGTGACCATGCATATTTTATTGTGTGTCTTTTTATGTTGTAATGTTACACCACTGTTTCAGGTTAGGGTGATGGTTGGCGCCTGTTAAAACGTTTGAGCCCACTGCATTTTTATGCACCTGTCCTAAGTCAGGAGCCTGTTGTTCTGAACTTCAGTGGTTGTCGTTTGTTGGTGTGGTCTATAAGTGCTTCTCGTTTCTCGTTTTTTATATAGATTAGACCGTTGTTTTTTTCTGTTTGAATTGTTTTACACTAGTCATTTTGGAGCCTTGTATAGCTTGCTGTTCGGTGTGAGCCAAGGTTCCGTGTTGAAGAGGCCGTAATTTGACCTATAATTGTTTACTTTTTACACAATGTGACTTGGATGGATAGTTGTCTCATTGGCACTCATACCACATCTTCTTAATTATATATATTTATATCCAGGTCTATTTGTATGCAAAACAAAAAAATACGTTGTAATTATAATTGATATCGTGATTTTCATCTTTAAATTTTAAGTGCTATGTTGTTTTACTCCCTCTCTCACCTGTCTTAATTGACTATAAACAAAATGTGTAAGTTTGCCTGCCGAAATTCAAGATGGAGAGCTTTTGATTAGCCACACACTGACACAGAGTGACACAAAGTTCTCGTCATTTGATCGAATCTTCTGGTTAAAAATGTTATTCTCTGTATTCAAATTAAGACAGGTCCTGATCAAAACAAAATTATGTGACAGAATCATGACCATATGTAAAATGCTTTTGTGCAGATTAGCTTATCTTAAAGTAAAATGAACCGCCTCGTGGTAGCGTGTTCGCTTCGAGTGCGGTAGGGTCATGGGTTCGAACCCCAGCCGGGTCAAACCAAAGACTTTAAAATTGGTATTTGCTGCTTTCCCCCTAAGCACGCGGCATTAAGGAGTAAGAGCAAAGACTGGTCGGCTCGGAGTCAGAATAATGTGTTTGGGTAAGGTGACATGTTTTTCTGCGGACTGGTACCTTGTGAACTAGCACGTTAAAAATCCAGCTGAGCGTGTCGGTCTAGTACACAGTAGGGTATATATTCATATTACATTAACATGTTCTCGTCCTGAATATGCATATTAATTTGCCGCTAGACGTTAAGCAACAATCCATCATCATCATCATTAAAGTAAAATGTCTTAAAACTTTATATATGTAGGGGGTTGCCAAAAATGCATGGATATATTATAATTGGGTGAACAATGACGTCTGGCTCACATTAATCAATATACATGTCGGTAGGAAGAGGAGCACAGTTGGTTATAATAGGAATGCAAAGTGTCTGTTAATAACCACGTACATCTAACTTCACAAATATGTTGTCAGTAAAGAAACCAAGCAGCATTTTCACAGTTCTTGCCTAATTTTTACATCATATAAAAATATGGTGATGTGGTATGATTGCCAAGGAGACAAATTTTCACCAGAGACCAAATGACGTAGATGCTAGCGGCCTTCAACAGATTTTTTCAAAGTATAATTTGTCCGTTTCTAAAACAATATATTTGTGACTACCTTGGTAGTTATTATGAAACAAAATTAGAATATATAGTTTTTATATCAATAATGAGGAATGCTTGTGTAAACTATATACATTTTTGTACTCAATGCTATGGAGTACACACTACTAGTATATATTGTATTGTCTTTATCTTCTCTGTTTTTTCATGGGTCAAAAGTTAGGCGAGGCAGTGTCTCAATAGAATCTACACCACTGTCCATATCGCCCTTAACGATGATGAATCAGGATTTCTTTGATAAAATGTGTATGTTGTATGGCAAAACATATATCAAATTGATCACCCAGAAAAATTAAGTCAGATCGTATATTATTTTGCAGGATTGAACGATTTAAAATGGCACAAAGGAGTTTCTCTACATCGACATGTCAAGCGGAGTCATCACATAGACGTCCTTTAACCTTAAAACTTTCAAATTGTAAGCAAAAAAGCGAAGATGATTATCATGCTCATTCCAAACCATACAGCGATGAGTCAGACAGGCTTCGCCGAGTACAGAGTTTTAAGTATAACAGGAAATCAAGCAGGTATACAAGTTTATTATAAATAAGAAGATGTGGTATGAGTGCCAATGAGACAACTCTCCATCCAAGTCACAATGTATAAAAAGTTAACAAAGTAAATTGTCTCCCTCGTATTAACCAATCAAAATCTGGCATTTTGACATGAAGTATAATAATTATAGTTGTGTTATATTATGCTAGTAAAGGACATAATGTTTTCTTGTCTGTGCGTCCACCCAGTAATCCGTTCGCCTCTTATCAGGTTAAAATTTTTTGTTAAAGTAGTTAACCATATTATTATGGTCACAACATAGTACACATATGAATAAAAAGAGATGTGGGATATACGTCAACGACAGCAATCTCACGACAAAAAATACAAAAGACACCATAATCAATATGTTGGGAACTTTTTAAGATATATATTTCTAAAATAATAATTAGGGTTTTAAAACCAAGTTAAGGTTTTGGTAAAAGGTATTTTACCATGAAGTGTTGGTTATATGAACTTGCAATACTTAATACATATGGTCATTGTGATGTGAACTATTTAAATATATGACAAATTAGGGTTTTTACCCTGTTTATGCGGTTTACTAGACATGGCAATTTATCAGAGCGAGTGTGACATGGTGTCCTTTGGACACATATTCTTGTTTTGTTAATCGGATTTCCAAAAGAAAATATCGGTTTTTAATTTGGTGATGTACGGCAGGCGGCGTCTGCAATAACTTGAAAGCGCTTTGATGAAATCTTTTCAAATTGATTAAATGAAGGTTAAGTTCGATTTTCACGATATCAGCACTTATCGTTGTTGAGTTGTAGACCTTTAAGTAGCGAAAAGTCATAATTAGATCGTTGTCCGTGCAATAACTTTAAAATGCTTTGACGAAATCTTTTCAAATACTTAGATTGATTTTGGCCTTTTCATTTCTGAACCCTACAAAAACTCATTTATTTTTTATACGACCGCAAAAATTTGTTTTGGGTTCGTATAATGCTATGATGTTGTCGTCGTCGTCGTCCGAAGACAAATTTGGTTTCCGGACTATAACTTTAGTTAAAGTGAAGGTTCAAGTGAAGGTGAAGAAGGTTCAATACCACAACAGGAAGGTTGGGATTGATTTTGGGGATTATGGTACGGACAGTTTAGGAATTAGGGGCCCAAAAGAGGCCAAAAACAAGCTTTTTTGTAGTTTCCGGACAATAACTTGTGTGTAAGTGTATGGATCTCTCTGAAATTGTACCACAAGGTTCCATATCACAAAGAGAAGGCTGGGGTTGAGTATGGGGATAATTGCCCCAAACATGCAGGAATTAGGGGAAAAAAACGGCCAAAATACAAACATTTTTCTAGTTTCCAGACAATAACTTGTGTTTGAGTGTATGAATATCTCTAAAATTGTACTACAAGGTTCCATACCACAAAGGGAAGGCTGGGACTGTGTTTGGGGGTAATAACTTCAAGGGGGGGTGTCCCAATAATTTTTTTTATTTGGGGGGTTTCAAATTTTTTTTCTTCAAAATTTTTGAAATTTCAAATTTTTTGAAAAGTTTCAAGAAGAAATCTTCTATTGCACAGTATTGCGCAATAGATTTTTAAGATCTTTGACCACATTTATTTTGTGTCAGAACCTACATTATGTCAAGAATTTGATCACAATCCAAATTCAGACAGTATCAAGCTTGAATAATGTGTCCAAATTTGCCCCAACTGTACAGTGTTCAACCTCTGCGGTCGTATCAGGCTGCGCTCAGCGAAGCATTTTATTTTACTCGATCCTGTTTGGGGGTTTGCAAATTTCATTTTCATGCAGGAAAATCAGGTTGCTGTCAATTTGACAGCCTCTTGTTTTGTTTTTTTAAATTTTAACTAAGAAGCAAAAGGATAAAAAATAGAGGATTTACAAAATACTTATATGTCCGACACCATTAGAAAACTCTTAATAGGAGTGATTGCCCTTATATGATGATTTTCAAGTAATTTTTTCGGATTTTGACTAATATCTCGACAATGACATTGACAGAGTAGAAACTGTTAACAACAGACTGATTAGCAATACAAATCTATAAGTGTGTTGAATGGCTGAAACTATTGAATGACTCATAATACAATTGACCTTAAATCTATAATAATTATCTAGTGTTTGCCTATCATCTCGAAAAGAATGTAAACAGCAAAAAAGACCAGCACAATATCTACAAAAATGCTTATATGGCTATAACAATTGGATTAGGGGTAAAGTTAGGCTGAGGCAAACATGCTCAGATTGTCAAGATATACATACTTTGTAAATTCCATCAACTTATCAAATGACTCCTTATAGGAGTTATTGCCCTTGAATTACAACTTTTGACTATTTTATGAATGTATGCCCAATATCTCGAAAACTATGATAGAAGAGTAAAACCTGTAAATAGCAAATAATTATCAGCATAAGAAGATCTTTAAAATGTCCGAATAATCGAAACCATTGGATGACTCCTAATAGCAGGCATAGCCCTTAAATGACAGTTTAGACCAATTTTCGAATTTTTGCATAGCATCTCGAAAACTGATATATATATATATGAGTTGAAACTGGAAACAGAAAAAAATGATCAGCAGTAGAAGATGAACAGAAATGCTAGTATAACCGAAACCATTTGACGACTCCTTATCGAAGACCTCCTTGAATAACGAATTTTCAAGCTTTTGCTTTTTATCTTGAAAATTATAATAGAGAGATAGGTCGTGTAAATAGCACAATGATCAAAAATACAGTATATACTAGCCAACAAAAGAAACGGTACAAGGCAATATATTTTCCATATATAATGAAATTGGATACACTGTACCAAGGTAAATAATTGCCCAATTGGTCTAATATTTACAGAGTGTTATTTCTTATCAAAACCATTGATTTAAGGCAAATACGCGAAATTTTTGTTGTTGCTATTTTTGTTATTTCAAAAATCGTATTTTCACCCAAAAATTCAAAAATCGATATTAGAACTTATAACTTTAAACTTAAACATGGGCGGCTTAAAATTTTGAATGCCTTTGCAGATATTTGAATACTTAATTCTCATCTTCGAAATTCAGTGCCGACTTTTGTCATCATTTTCCGCAAAATAAATTTGACCCCTGTGTTCAATAACACGGTATTATCTCACTTTCCAATTTGGTCAGATTCTTTTAATTGAAGCATATGAATGTTTTTATTGGATAGTTGAACAGTTTTTCCTATTTATCATATTTTATGATAAATTGTAGTTCAAACTTGTGTATCGTTACTTTTGTTGACTTGTATATATGTTTGACAGGTGAGCATTTCAAGCTGATAGGAGCCTCATATTGTTTTATCAAATTAGGATAGCCACCTAGCATTTTCATCATGTATCCGACCTCTTCTTATTTTCATATGAGTCGGAGTTCCTTCAGACACTTGTCAAGAACAAGAAGATCAAAGAAGCCAGATCATTTTATTTCACATTCAGATATATTAATGATGTTCTTTCCATTAAAAATCCAGACTTTCCTGATTGGGTTCCATTAATATATCCTCCAGAACTAGAAATTAAAGAAACAACAGACACGGCTTCTTCCGCCTCATTTTTAGACTTATACCTCGAATTTGACATAAGCGGTCATTTCAGTACCATAATCTATGACAAACGAGGCGATTTTAATTTTGAAATTATCAATTTCCCCCCACCTTAGTAGCAATATACAAACTTCACCTGTATATGGGATATACATTTCCCAACTCATTCGGTATTCAAAAGCTTGCAGCTGCTACCCAGACTTTATAAAACGTCACCAGTGTCTGAGCAGAAAGTTGATGAACCAAGGTTATGTCAAAGAACGTCTCGTCCCTTTCCTAAAAAAATTAATCGGAAGATACTAAGACCTTGTTGATAAATATTCCGTATCAACTTCACAAATAATACATGATGGGCTTGAAGTATAGATTCTGGGTACTGACGTTGTTTATTATCTTAATTACGTGTTAAAGTGTTCTTTTATTTGTCTTTGTAAATTATTAATCTTTACTTGTAGTCCATTTTTGGTAATATCCTTTTGTCGTGGCTCGGTACTTATGCATCCCGCCAATGTGTTTTAGTGCTGTTGTAATTTTTTTATATTCTTGTCTTTCATTTATGCATATGTGCTATGTCTATATGCCATTTTGTTTTTCTTTGTTGACATATTTGTTTGTTTTTTTTATAGTGATTAAGATTATAACACAATGTTGACTGCTGTACCCCTATTTTTGACATTTTTACCTATTATGTCTGTTTATTTTGTTCACACATTGTAGTCAATATAATGGAATTTTATGCGACTGTTATACAAGTGAGAGGTTTAGCTAGCTTTAAAACCAGGTTTAATCCACCATGTTCTACATAAGGAAATGCCTGTACCAAGTCAGGAATATGACAGTTGTTTTCCATTCGTTTGATGTGTTTGAGCTTTTGATTTTGCCATTTTATAAGGGTCTTTCTGATTTGAATTTTCCTTTGAGTTCGGTATTTTTGTTATTTTACTTTTTGTTACTAAAAACGTCAAGTTAGTTATCTTATTTTATTTTTTAAATTTCAGGAGATCAAAAGTAATGTATCGGGTAAGTTTACCTTTAATTAAGGACTCAATGATATCCTTTTTTATTTATTTTACACCTTCATTGTACTTGATGTGTATAATTGTAAATAAAGTAATACGTTGGATGATCACCCAAACCATGTTAAATTTCCATCTACTAAAAAAGAAAACAAAGAGGTGATTATAGCTGAAATAACTATAAACATACATGCCGGAATCAGGAGATTTTATGATTGATCATCTTCCGAAGTCTTTTTGATAACGTAAATTGGTTGGTCATTGTATGAATTGTATCACTACACATACACCTATCTGATCAAAAGCTGGAATTTCACAATGTGCTGTTAGATTTGTTTGGCGCAGTGTGGACACTACACGTGGACAAACAAATCTAACGCAGAATAATGAATGATCTTATTTCAATCAGATTTCAAATATATGTATCTACACTCACATGTGTAAAGGTTTCAGAAAATAATATTAATAAGACCAATACCGTGTATGGACCTCGTGTCTCTGTGTTAAATTGACAATATTGTCACAGAAGGAAACATCCGTATGTATTTTCATAACACACAATCCATAAACGAAGAACAGAAACGAGTTTATTTCATAGAGAGATATGTACAACGAATGACTCGGCAGTGTTTATTTTTTCATTCATTTTCATTGATCCTTTTGAAATTTTAACACACGATCGTTAGAGTACACACTCTTATGTTCAAAATTTGACAAAACACGAAGCTCAGATGGTGGTATTTTATTTGTCGAATTTGGAACGCCATCTTCTATCAACACTGGGATTATTCATTTCAATTTTTTTCTAATAATGAAAATTTTAATCAGTCATTTGCAACCACATATGATGCAAGTCGTGGGTTTACCAATCTCAAGGATAAAAGGGGTTTAAAAAAATAATATACATTCTAACTTTTTACTTTTTTTTTTAACTTGTTTTGATTTATTTCGATTTATTCTTGTTGTGATTTGTTACGTACTCTAGTTTTAGATCACTATGGGCCATGCGAAATATTACCATCACTCATATCGTCGTTGTCGTTGTAAACGTTTTCAAAAGGTTTCTCCTCTGAAACTTTTTTTCTAATTCAACCAAACTGGGACTGAATTATCAATAAGCTGCATGTAATAAAGTTGGAGATTTTGAGTTCCTGATAATTAAACAACTTTGGTACCTTGGCAAAAATGGAGCATACGGGTAAAATGTATGGGAATAAACGTCTTTATCTGTCGTTTTAGGTCAGAGGCAAGTCAATGATTAAAGTAAAACTCTCCCCAGTCACGCCTCCTGAAGGTTAGTTGATTATAATGTTGTAAAATTTAGTTCGCTGCAAAACAGTATAAATAGATATATAAAGACCATTATATCTGTATTATTCAATGGTCTATACTGCTTAATGTAATCACCGAAGTTGTGGCTTGCAATAAAACTGTTAGATATATATGAGTCTAAAAGATTGTGTAACAATACCGATAAATAGATGGAAAACAAAACACTAAAAAGTGTTGAATATCATCGCACAAAGATGGAAAAACTGAACAGATGATATAAATTATACAATAATTGCAAATATTTCGGCTTAACAAATGGCCTTCCTCAGTGTTAAAAGTTTTAACAATACTGATATATACTGTATAAGGTGTAAACATAGATCAGTAATAATACAGGTAAGTTTTGGTCGATTGATTTGCTGGAGTGCTCCATCGAAAAACCGCTTTCCTGGTATCGATTCATTGATGACGTTGACATGAAATGGGACAAGGGAGACCAAGAATTACAAACTTTTATAACAAATGCTAACAATCAACACCCTACCATCAAATTCACCCATGAAACATCTAATTCCACCATAAACTTCCTTGATACATCTAGCACCCTCTCTGTAGGTATAATAAACACAGATATATACTCTAAACCTACAGATACTACTCAATACTTGTCGCCTGAAAGTTGCCATCCTCCACACTGCACGAAGAGCATTCCATACAGCCAAGCTCTCAGAATAAGGCGAATCTGCTCCTCTGAAGACACTGCAAAACAACGTCTGGGGCAGCTCAAAGGACATTTGAAAAGAAGGGGATATAAACACAAAAACATCAAAAATAGTTTTCGAAAAACGGAATCCATCCCCAGAAGCAGTCTGCTAACTTACAAAGAAAAACAGAAAAGTAAAAGAATCCCATGTGTGCTCACCTACCATCCATGCCTGAGAAATAGTTTCGAGACCATTCGTGATCATTGGACGGCAATCGAGAAACATTCTAAGTTATCCAAAATCTTTCCTGAGCCTCCCATGATTGCCTTCAAACTACCTAACAGCCTGAGAAATATACTTGTCCGTGCTGACCTTTCCAAACCTAACCATACTGTAGGTAATTGCCAGCCTTGTGGGGATAAGCGCTGCAAATGTTGCAACCAATTGCAGCATTCATCAACATTTCACAGTAAGACCACAGAAAAGACATACAAGATCTTCTGCAATGTCAACTGCAAAAGCTCAAACGTGATTTACGTTCTTGAGTGTCCTATATGTGGTCTCCAATATGTTGGTGAATCTATGCAGCCATTTCACAAACGCCTTAATGGCCACAGGAGTGACCTCACAAAAAAACCGTATATTCCTGTCAGCCAACACTTCAGGTTACCAGATCACAATCTGAAAGATTTTGATCACATGAAGATCCTTGTGATCGAACAGGATTGTACATGGCAAAATAGGCAAAGAGAGAATCGGGAGAAGTTTTGGATAAAAACACTGGGTGTCCTCCATCCAGATGGAATCAATAGAAAGAAATAATTAAATTTACAGTCTAATGTTTATATTATGATATTCAGGATTTTGGATTAAAATCAATCGACCAAAACTTACCTGTATTATTACTGATCTATGTTTACATCTTATACATTATATATCAGTATTGTTAAAACTTTTAACACTGAGGAAGGCCATTTGTTGAGGCGAAATATTTGCAATTATTGTATATTTTATATCATCTGTTCAGTTTTTCCATCTTTGTGCGATGATATTCAACACTTTTTAGTGTTTTGTTTTCCATCTATTTATCGGTATTGTTACACAATCTTTTAGACTCATATAATTTTCCCTGTTTGTGTAGTATTGTCAATTGTGATGATCCAATACCTATTAAGTTTACTGGTTGGTAGATTCTTATAGACTCTATATTATATATATATATCTATATGATAACTGAACATTCTGTTTTTTTCAAAGAAACTAAAAATCGTGGATTGCCTGCATGAATTTATTGAAATGAAGCATCTTATTAAATACATTCCGAAGTAAACCTTATCCAACAGAGTTTGATATCTACATTGTATAATATTCGAGATAATACTATAGGAACGAATTTGTCGATTACCAGGAAAACTCGTGGATCGATATAAAAGAAATAGTTTAGATTGTACTAATTTTTCTTGCATTTACATATCTACTGTGACAGGTATACACTTTTTTTAAGTTTATTTCCATTGCGATTTGTATGTTCTTTTGAAAACATAATTCTAGGAACCGTTACGGGTAATATTCTCTGGATGTCTTTGACGTCACAAATACAAAATACTTAGTACCTTATTCTAATAAGATGTTCTTCAAACGCTAAAATACGAATATATTGTATTTCAGCTGATCGGTAACATTATGATTTGTTTGGGCTATTCCAATCATACTCCAAAGTTGCAAGGGCGGATTTAGGTGGTGGTGGTAGGGGGATGGGGGCCCTTCTTTATGGAGCTTCATTTGTGGTTAATCCAGACTTTTTACCGGTTCCAGTACAAATTTTGTCTAGTTCGGTGGCCTGCGCCAACCCTTCCACTTTTTCATAATCCTGGATCCGCATCTGCGTTGTAACTATGCTTTTAATGAACGCGTTACCCGAGATCAACCGATGTAAACGACGTCATTGAACAATCTACTCGATCTGTGACGTCAGAACATAAGTACTATACGGGTAAATGCACGAATGCGAAAGTCGTCAAAACATTGAAGCATAAAAAGTCGAAAAGATGACACCGGTTGACTATATTTCTTAACAATTAAAGTCATGTGACTACCACATTGAGGCATATTGTGGGCCATTTTTTGTTCAACGACGAGTCGGTTTCCTTCAAAAAGTCGTATTAACTGAAACAAAAGCATGTTGTACGTTACATATAACAACTGCATGCATTTATTTATGGCCGTGTTGGACGAAGTCCAAAACCGACTTAAAGTATGGTGATGTCGGGCGGGCGCCGAAAAGTAGGTACCTAGTTTGTGAAATCAACTCCTCTTACAGTTTTCAACCCAGATCCCTGAAATTCACAGGAAGATTACACATATGTTGAAGTTGTGCACCTGCTATTATGGAATTGTTTGAGGAATTTATGGAATTTAATGTACAAAATAACCCGAAAAAATAGATGATATACAGCAACAAACGACAACCACTTAATTACAGGCTCCTGTGTTAGGACAGGCACATACATAAACTGGTTGGGTTAAACATGTCTGTGGTGGTCCAAGCCTCACGGACTTTTTTTTATTGAAAAGGTTTTGTACTATGACGCAAGTCTTAACTACGCTTTAATAACAACAAAGAAAATGAATACATTTAGTCTCCGAAATGCGGAAAAATAAATCATGTGAGTGAACAATTTGTTTGATGATCTGAAAATAGGGTTCTTTATTTCTATATCGTTTCATGACTGTTTCAAAGTCAAAACCACGAGAAAGGCAATATTGTATTTTAAGTATGTTAAATATCTTCTTAATTTCCTGTATTTGATATATAAGTCATAACCTCTGGAAAAGAAATATTGTATTTTAAGTATGTTAAATATCTTCTTAATTTATTATCTTTGATAGGTAAATAATTACTACAATAACCAATTAATTAAATTCTTATTGCACTTCAGGAATCAATGCAGACTTCGAACTTCATCTTGAAGGTACAAAGGGAACTCCCTGTGTAACACCGAACAAGTATGAAAAGTCATTCAAGTTTTTTGTGGACCCGGACAATTTAAAAAATCGTCTATCAGCAGGTATTGTTGAGTCTCTGTCATAGTAAATACAATATTAGACTTTGCTGTTATTGTTTATATGTTCAATTATTAATGTTAAAAATGTTCTTGAGGAGTAGGGTTTTTTTTTCGTTTAGTTATCTTGTCTTCAACGAAAGTAATGAACAGTTATCAAGGTAAACGTTAGGTGATTAGATCCGCGTTTCAGATGTTATAAGCAGAAGGTCAACTAGATTTGATGTACGGAATTATATCGTTTGTAATGGAACATGTCTGTCTGGCTGGTATCATCTGATCTTGACTTATTTTCATGGTTCATCAGTCAATGTTAAGTCCCCGAAGGTTGGAACTTTTCTCAATTAACATTATCCATATATCAACTGTATTTGGTGTAGGGAATGATTTTAAGTTGTACATATCTGTCAGCTGTCAGTGTTCACCTGACCTTGACGTCACTTTTATGGTTCATTCGTCAATGTTAAGTTTTTCTGATTAATTCCTTTTCTCAGATACTGTAGGTAATTGCATATGGTCAGCTACATATTGGATATGCAATGATTGTAAGACACACATGTCTGTCTGGCAGGTATCATACGACTATGACATTATTTGCAAGGTTCATGGGTCAACGCAAATTTTTCTGATTAAGTCTGTTTCGCGGATACCATAGGCAACTACAATTGAGATATGTATGAATAATTGTAAGGCGTTCATCTCTGTCCAGCAGGGTTGTTCATCTGTTCTTGACCTCATTTACGTGCATCTTTGATGATGTTTTTGTGATACTTGTGGTAAAAACTTTTATCTTAATTTTCAAGGTTTTCTACTTAGAATATACCATGATCAAATTTTAGCGTATGCACTCTTGCTTATTTCAATATTTACTGAAAGTTACCTGCACAAAAGGGTTCAATAATTTGCAGTTTTTCATTCGACAAAAAAGTGTCTGCGGACATATATAAATATTGGAATTTTAATTAGACAAAAATCGAAATACGCAAAAATCTTGAAAAGCTTGACAATAACTTTTGATATGAACAAAACCCAATATTTCAACTCAGTTTTAAGTGAACACATATTTATATATCATATTTCAGATATCATTTTCAAAAAAAATATGAAAGAGGTGGAAAGAGTACCCGTTTTGGATCTGCTGGATATTGACAAGGCAAAGAGAATTGAGTGCAAAACGGTATGAAGTAAACAGTTACTGTAAATAAACGAACAATCAAGATATATATATTTAGTATTTTTATCAATAAGTTGATTCTATGACCAAAATATTTTACAAAAAAGTAAAGAGCAGATTTAATGCATATGGCAAAAAATAAAATAACAAAAGAAAAACAATGCATGAACAATTACAAAACATTTACGCGTTTTCGGTCTTTTCTATATTTTATGTTTATATTCATCTGAGATGGGATAAACGCCCATCCTAATATTTTGGTTGTTTTCTTTGCAGGTTGACCTCCAAGCATCCCCTCCAGAATGGTAAGCATGGCATTTACTTTTAATAGGTATAAGAAGATGTGGCATGAGTGCCAATGAGACAACTCTCCATCGAAGTCTTAATTTGTAAAAGTAAACCATTATCGGTCAAAGAACGGCCTTCAACAGGGAGCCTTGGCTCACACCGAACAGCAAGCTATAAAGGACCCTAAAAATGACTAGTGTAAAACCATTCAAACAGGAAAACCAACGGTCCAATCTATATAAAAAACGAGAAACGAGAAACACTTATGAACCACATCAACAAACGACAACCAATAGTGTAAAATCACAACATAGAAAGACACACTATAAAATATCAATTGAAATGGCTTAACTCAATCAAAAGACTTATTAACAAAAACCAGTGAACATACATTGAACGAATAAATGTGATCTATGACACAATGTAAATACAAAATTAATAAAACAAGGGGGTTAGATGTAAAACAATATCAGAAAGACAACCATAACCTTGGACAAAATACCGTCAAATAAAATAACGTACACAGGTAAATAAAAATAATTTTGTTCATTTATATTATTTGAATACAAACTACTTCTGAGTTTGTAATCAACGAAACGCGCAACCCTGTGCATTTTTGGAAAGTATAATTTTGTAATTGTAATACCAATTTGAAACATTTACGTGTTTCGTTTTGAAATTGGATTGATATGGTTCTATCAGTGTTATTATTGAATATAGTACTGTTCAGTGTACAATTCATAGAAAGCGTTAGCTATGTCGTCGTTATAACAATGACATTCAAATTATCTATGCGCGCCAAACTAAATCAGAACTAGTATACCGGTATAAATTACATTTATTCTTACTTTTGCACAAAAATGCTATAAACACAATCAATTACTGACTTCATATAATGAAAGGTTTCATGATTACATTTGGTTTGTAAACTAACCATCAGTTAGCATGTTTTTTTTGGTCACAAATAGTAATTTTATATTTGAATTTGAAAATAAATAAATGTGTTACATATTTGTTTTTCGTTCATTTTTTGTACATAAATTAGGCCGTTAGTTTTCTCGTTTGAATTGTTTTACATTGTCATTTCGGGGCCTTTTATAGCTGACTGTGCGGTATGGGCTTTGCTCATTGTTGAAGGCCGTACGGTGACCTATAGTTGTTAATTTCAGTGTCATTTGGTCTCTTGTGGAGAGTTGTCTCATTGGCAATCATACCACATCTTCTTTTTTTATACCCGATTATCCAACTGTAATGAAAACAACATACATTGTAAAACTTCCTTTTTAAAGGGCGATGCACATTTATGTATTTTATTAATGAATACTTTGAAAATTACATCTTTTTTGTCTCTTTACAAAACAAAAACATGGAAAAATATGTCCACTCAGCTGTTAGACACTCATTGTATAATGGTCATGACATTTAAAACAACGACCATAAGATTGCGCACGTAATGATATCGGGCTACTGTGTTGTTGATTCATTTCACCCTAAGTTATATTATATATTTTTCACCAGGAAATTCTCAGATCTTAGAACGTTTGACAACAGTGAAGGGTTTTTGTGTGACCAAGAACAAAGGTTTCAAGAGAGAAGAAAACTGTACATCCTTACTTCTTTACAAAAACTACTTAATACAGAATTGAAGGCGGATGATGTAAGCATGTCCTTTTACTTTGTTTGCTTCCTTCTGGAATATTTTAGGCTTATGTACGTTAACGTATTGGATTTTAATAATTATAATTTTGACTTCAAAGGACCTTCAAAGCGAAATATATCGTATACCAATAGTAAAAACATGTTTTCGACATTTTTAAACACGTGGAGCAATCCATGTATTTAAACCACTGCCGTGATGTCAGCCTATTCAATTACCGTGGTTTTTTTTTCTAGAATCAACGCTTCCTAAGTATGTCGCTGAAATGGACTCACCAAATTATATGCAATTGTTTCCTCAATTTCAATAAGTTTGAATTAGCTAATTTACTGATTTATGTTCACTAATGTAATTAATTTAAAAATGTACCTTTAACTTTTGTAATTTTCATATGCCTTCACTGGGAGTCGAACCTCTCCTTGACGTCTGTTATGTATGACTGACACCAACACATCGACGAAACCTCTCGGCTACCAATGGGTTGCATTAGAGATTTACAATAAGTGTATGACTCTGACCCGATTCCGACTACGAGTCATAATAGGACAAGTTAAAACACGGGGGCGATCTCAAAATAATGAAAATATTGTAAACATTGTACTTCAATCATTAAAGTATTAATCGAAAAAAAATTTGGCGACTGACAAAACTACCACAAACTATGACTTTAAGTTTGTAACGAAGATGGCTCCAAGGAATTTTCGTGACTTTATAGCATTTCAATTCGCACATAACATTTTCAAAGGAGACCCGGTATTCTCTAATGAGTAGTTTGAGCTTCGGACATTTTCTCTTTAAATGTTCCGGCTTTCTGGTTATCTGTTATCTGGTGTATGGCTGATGAATAATCCAATCTCTTCCTGTTGACGAAGACCAGGAGCCACCTACTGCTGTACAAGAAGTAAAGGAACCTGAACTTAAAAACGGATAAAGGGCCTGGCAATGGAGATATCAATTTAGACTATGCCACAGATAATGCTACAACCAGACGTGCATATAATATCAATGATGCTCCTGCAGATAACATCAATGATGCCCCAAACCCCCGAGAAAAAAACCTTTAATGCAATTGGTATCAAGTAATCATGAAATATATGAAAACATTATAACAAAACAGGTGCCCAAATTGTTTAAAAGCCGCGGCCGGAGATGATTTAGATTCATCTGAAAGTGATTAGACTGTTCTTGGTTCAATGATGTCGTTTTGCATATAAGTAAAACAAAAGTATTAAAACAACAAGTTTTATTTATTTATAATTATATATATCAAAAAGAAATTTCTCGACATATAAATCATATGCATTTAACCTCTTTAAAGCACGAGTTTTGTATTGTACATCGTGTATATGTGTTTAGTGTTTCTTGTTTTATAGAAGAAAGAATCAATCATACAGAAAACATAATGTCAGTTGCAAAATTACAATAAATTTATTTTGGCTGTACATTGTCAAATACTAGTAAAGTATTTTTTTCTATAGCCACAACCACCTACATGTACTATTCGTGTTCCTCTCACACACTTCTCCGTACCGTCGTTTCGATTCTTTCTGTCCTTTCTATTTCTATTGTTTCGTTTGCTGTTTTACTTTTAGTTTTGCTTCTGTTTGAAGAAACACTCTTTCAATTGATTTGTCAATATAAAATTCAATTAGCAATCATTTATGAACCTGTTGTTCAGTGGTTGTCGTTTGTTGATGTGGTTCTTAAGTGTTTATCGTTTCTCGTTTTTTATATAGATTAGACCGATGGTTTTCCTGTTTGTATTGTTTTCAATAGTCATTTTGGGGCCCTTTATAGCTTTCTGTTCGGTATGAGCCAAGGCTCCGTGTTGAAGGCCGTACTTTGACCTATAATTGTTTACGTTTTACACATTGTGACTTGGATGGAGAGTTGTCTGTCTCATTGGCACTCATACCACATCTTATTTCTATTTAATTTAAAATGTTTATCCTTCAAGCTTAAGACTATAAAACTATGCAGATGTGATATGATTGCCAATGAGACATCTAACCACCAGAGTTTAAATGAAGTGGTAGTAAGTAATTATAGGCCACCGTACAACCTTCAACATTGAGAAAACCAATACAGTATAGTCGGCTATAGTAGGCATCGACATGAAAAATAGCAAACAATTCACACGAGAAAACTAACGGCCTAATACATAACAATTTACGAAAAGCAATATGACAGAAATGAGCCAACGACAACCGCTGTACTACAGGCCCCTGACTTGTGACAGCACATAAAGAATGTGACAATACTATACACAGTGGAAACAAATAGCCCCAAAACAAAAACAAAAATAAAAAAAAGCTGAAGAAATTATAGTATTATCTAATCCCCTTAAATAATTCGTCAGTTATGAAAGGACCATTTAACTTGAAAAGGGATTTACATTTTTTTTTAATGTTTACGAACAAAAAATATCAGATACAAGATAAGATATTTTATTTCCAATTATGGGCCCCAAAGGGCATAAACATTACAACATCAATAATTTTTCATAATACAATACAAACAATGAGATAAAAAAAAAGTTAAACGAGAACTATTTAAGTTCTTAAAGAATACGTAGATAAAGAATCTATAGTATGTTTTTTTTTAAATACTAATGCATTTTATTGCAAGTGTGGTTGATATAGATAACAAACAAGCAGCCCAAAAAGAAAAAAAAGAAAAATAGATATCCATATATGTAAAGAACACAAAAAGTTGGATCAATTAAACATATAATAATTAGCCAAAAAGAAAGTAGAAATTAAGCATGTCCATGACTCATCATGTGTCAGCAGCAAATAGGAAAGCATTATGGTTTCCTAAAGGCAGCTGACACCAGGGGGCGATACCTTATGGGCCATAGGCATGGAAAATGTGTGTAAGCAAAAAATGGTTGTTGTGAAAGTTTTAAAATTCTGAACATATCTGTTAACGAGCGTAAGCGAAAAGGCCATTTTCTACTCTCTTCAGTAAAATGGAAAAAAAACCGTCAACGCAAAGATTGAGCACAGTAAAATTGATTAGCTTACACATTATTTTGAAGTCACCCCTACAGCTTACCTGTATGATTTGTAATCCTACCCGCACTCGGACTCCTAGTCCGACAGTTATTGTAAATCTCTATTAGAGACTATTTAGATATCTATTTTATATATACCAATGAACATATGATACACATTGGTAAAACGGACACACAGGGCTTGTACCTTTATATATACATGATAGACAATCGTATAGTATAAGTTGGTAGCCGCGAGGTATAGATGAATGCGTTGTAAAGTGAAGTTAGAAGTAGAAATTTTCGGTTAAGGTTCGAATCCCAGTTTTCTCTTTGTTGTCCCTTTCCTTTAGCTTTTCCATATTTCTTTTTTTGTACGTTATTGTGGATATTTTTGTAATAATAGCGGGTTTTCTTATATTGTTATATTTTTCCTTTCATTAATATTAAGGGCATGCAAACGTGAATGGTTTGTTTAAACTACTGTAAGATAATTTTATGACAGCTGCTTTAAAATAGTATTTAATTGCCTGGACACTTAATATATATAGGCCATTTTTAGAAGGACTTTCAATATCACAGCGTCAATTGTGCAGTTTTAGAATCTTTTTGAACCGACTCAAAGATGATTGATAACTACGATTTTGAAAGATCATGTAATTATTTGTAGATGATTTCTATAGAGAAGAAATGTCTTAGTATTTTCAAATTATTGTAATGTCATTCATTTTACTTGGATTTAATACATTTGGTGATTTTATTTCATACATCAGCAACGGAATATAGTGAAATATTTTTGAGCGAAAAATTTAGGTTAATTTTATATTCTACAGATGAGAGGTTAGAATATCATTTATTTCAAAAATAACTTACTAATACAAACACAAATACAGTAATTCAGTAATGAACATACGTGCGTTAATGTAAAGACAGACATGTTATGTTATATTGGGATTTCTCTAACTGATTAATTGTGAACTTTGATTTATTAACGCATCGTTGAACATGATAACATGGTTATTTAAACTCACTTACGACACTTTTTAAGAAAAGTGTTTAATTTTGAAAAGACATCAGAACAATAGCTTAAATTAGAGACACAATGGATAAGCGTTGGTTCATGAAAAATAAACCATTCGTCCTCCGGGCTCTTTTTTTTTTAATAATACAAAATTATTATGAATTTACTTGAACTAAATTTATCATGAACGAGAAATGAAAGAACAATCGTTTTGTCAATACAAGAAAAAAGATTGTAAAATGATTAACCTCATAGTTATAGTTTTGATGAATGAATAAATAAATGTTATATACTCTATTTTACAAAACAGAAAAAATGCATTGCTGAAAAAAAAACATGATATTTATCTCAATACAGAAGTTTATCGTTAATCTTACAGGTTCCACACATTGCATTGATGGGGTCAGGTGGAGGATACAGAGCTATGGTAGCCATGTCCGGGATAATTAATGCCCTCTACAATACAAAAGTTCTTGATTGCATCTTATATACTGCTGTCTTGTCTGGCTCTTCATGGTAAGACGTCAATCTCACGAATGATCATCTTAAGAAATATGTATATTATAACAGGTAAAGCATAATACACAAACTGTGTTTCAGAGGTGAAGATTTCTTAATAATGCATGTATAATATGTGTTAGAAAGTCATTTCAGGGCAATATCGTCCTATATTTACAGAAGGCTTATCTTTTATTGGCTGAAAGACAATTATTGGATTCCGTCATATGCCTTCATTGCGTATGAAAGCAACCCAAGATTATAGAATTATTAGCTCCACCAACTTATTAATCAAAACTATTTTTTGCATTTTTCGTGCTCTTCGTCCAAACGATTATGTTTTAAAAAAATCTCAAATTTTATTCATTTGAAAAAAAGAAGTTGACAATATTTCAGATAAAAACGGATAATTGAATAATTGAATGTGACCTACCGAATAAAACTTATCACCCGCTTTGCACTTATCTGAGCATTATGACGGGTGCCACATGTGGAGCAGAATTTGTTTACTCATCCGGAGCATCTTAGATCAACCATGGTTTTTGAGGGATTCGTGTTGATCAGTCTTTAGTGTTCTGTGGTGTGTTTTGTAGACTGTTTGTCGTTTGGTCGTTTTTATTTTTGCCATGGCATTGCCAGTTTGTTTTCGAATTCGAATATACCTTTGGTATCTTCCATCTCTCTGATAAATATGTAGCAATAATTATTGTCTTTTGATATAAGTGATTAGGGTACACCAATAATTGAAAGTTGATAAATATTTTACGAGCTATTTACTTTAAAATCAACATTTTCATAAGCCAATTTTATCTATATGAGTATTACAGTTGATTTCATATGGAATGATACTGCTTTCATCTTACTAGACAATTTCTGCCGAAGTTTTGTGTTAAAAGTTTTACCTTAGATTCAAAATGTGAAAAGCATAGTTATATTTGTTTGTTTCGAAAATCTGTAAATACGAATTGAATTTCTGTTTAAATTTTTTTTTAACTAATTGAAAGCAAGAGACCATCCCATTTTGAGCAAGAATTGCATCATACAAAATGTGACGTTCATTTGAACGTATGTCGTATAAGTAAAAAAACTCAATTCAATTCTATTATAAACAACCAGGTAAGAGTTTCGGTCATGTGAGCTATCATACCTCGATGATCATTTTCCTGTTACAATATCAGTTTAATGTTTTCAAGATGGAAAAAAACATTTAATATGAAAATAAGGAAACTAATAGTCTTTTTAGGTCAAGAACTCTTAGAAAGAGTCAATTTTATTTCATGCTTGTATTTTCAAGCATTTTGTATAAATCGAGACAAGTATAACATAACGCATTGCTTGACTGATAAGATATGTCTGGATTTGTCGATTCACGAGAGAAATGTATTCCTGGTCTAAGTTTTTAGGATACATGAGTCTGGTTTCGTTTTGCAGATGCTGCATATATAGCAAGGGATGCCTACCTTGTAGACGCATCCAGTTCCTCAGGTTTTCATATATATCTTGATAGGTGTATTGAAACTGAATTTACGGAAATATAAACTTCGTAAAGTACTCATCACTTTAGGGACATTATTCTTATGAGGAGTCTATTTATTGAATCAAGCAAATTACCATTTTTGTAGATCTTTTTATTATGATAATTGTTAGAAAATTTTCATTTTTAAGCAATTAGTACTTGCATTTGAGCCAAATTCAATTAATGTTTAATTTTTAGCTATGTTGGTTGAGTGACGGATACAAAAATACCATTTGTATAAGTCTCTCCTAAATTATGCATAACTATCTTTTTTATAAAATAAAATAAGTGATACCCAGGTTTAATATGTATATCTGTATTTCATAGGTTAATTGCAACACTATATTCGCATCCTGAATGGCCAAACATTGATCCTAAGTATATTCAAAAACAGTTGAAAACTGATATATCTAAAAATCCGAAAAGCATATCGCAAATATTGCGGTATGGTTGGAATTTCTTTTATACGAAATGGGAAGGAAAGTCATGGAACTTTACAACGGATGTATTTGGACCAATGTTGGGAGGTGTGCTTATACCAAACGTAAGAATAGTAATGATAATATAAACATTGTTATGATACTAATATTAATTATAATGTCACTTGATTTATCAAAACCACATATATATTAATTTAATTTTATCAAACACCTGGAACTCTGTATGTAAAAGATTTTTTTTCATTGTATTGCATCAAGCAACGGGTTAAGAATCGCAAATTACACTGAATTTTTACATGTTAATGACACAAATTTATAGATGTAATTAAGTTGAAATCAACTAAATTTCACCAGCATAAATGGGAAACTCTCATTTTATTAGATGATATTAAAACGTTGATTTCAACTACTGTAATGATTAAAGGAAATTTTATCGATGTTTACTGATGCAGTCGTGTCAATATTTTCTTTCTTGATATGTGACTTGTATGAAATGTCTGGCGATATATATAATGGGTTTTAAAAAATCAATTTCTCGAATTAATTTCAATATTGTCAACAGTGTGTCCCATGTGAACTTTTTGGTTATGGCAGAAATTGATATCACGTAGTAATGTTTTGTTTCCCTTTCTTCTGCTTTTCATTACAACTTTATAATTGTTTGTGGAACTTCTTATGAACAGTGATTTACTGTTCATTATTAGCAAGATGATAAAGGAACAATACTATACCCTGGAACAATTATTGATACCAACATTTTTTACAGTTCAGTAATAAACAGTAAGACAGTAATATGTCAAACTTAACCTCTCGTAATAAAATAGATTTTTCTTCATATTTATTGTATATTACATGTTATGATGCGATGGCTAACCAGAATAAATATGTATTATATTCTATAATGGTAATAGAATTGATCACTAATCTGTTTTGGTCCCTTTATAGAGGTTAAATTGTAAATGGAGCGAACAGCAAGATAAATTAGCAGAGGGAATTGTTCCACTTCCATTATTGTCTGCCATTCATGCAAAAGACGAACAGAATACCAAAACATTTCATGGTATGTAGAAATAATATTCAATATCTGTGTATTTGAATGAAATATATACACAGTGCATGCTGTACTTGTTGCCAAAATGTCACAGAATCAGGGACTCGAATCCTATTGAAGGAAGAACTAAAATTTGCAGATCTCAAAATGTTTGTCTAAATTTCAGACGAAGTATATATAAAATGTATTGCCTATATGATAAACATGATATTGATGTGAATGCATGGTAAGTAAAATTATCATTCACAACAGAGAAAAAACAGCTGATCTGCAAGGTATACTATATATATATGCAACAATACATCATGAACTATGTAACCACTTTAGATACAGTTGACGAGAATATAGAATATACGAAAATCCCGCAGAGGGAATAACAAAAACAAGTTAATGCACATTTGCTGGTCTAACATTGCTAGACTAAATTTTAGACGAAGTATATAAAAATTGTGGTGTTTGTCCTGTATAACCTTTGAGAAAGGTATCTTGTGAAGTTGTCACATACTTAGACGTATAAATATATATATGCTTTAAGCTCTTTGAAAATTTTAAATCGCTAATCTTCTGGATTCGATGTAATTATGAAGAGAAAAATGCTTAATACATTGAAGAATGGAGACACTTTTATATACGATATTGACTTTACAGTACGGTTCAGAAGTTTATTTATGATATAAACATTTGCCTTTTGTTGAAGACCATGTAATTGACCTGCAGATATCTTTGTCGTTTGGTGACTCTCTCATCTCATCTTATTTCCTTCAAAATAGTATATTCTTTAATATTAAGATTGCTGTTAAAATACTATCCATTCATTTCAGATTCTGAGAAAGGAAAATTTCAGATTCTGAGAAAGTAAAATGTTCCATCCCATCAAGTTTGCATTTATAACTTGGAAATTTTACTAGCGTTTACGAGAAAATATATAATATAGGCCATTGATGTTTAGAAATTCAAAACGGAAGGTCCCTTAACAAATGACCAAATCAAAAGCTCAAACACATCAATCGAATTGAAAACAACTGTCGTATTCTTGACTTTGTACAGGCATTTTTTTTTTGCGTAAGTATTTATCCTTTTATTCAGAGACCATGTATTGATTTTGTGGCATCGTTACCATTACTTCAATAGTATTAGATGTTTAATAATCTCATTAGGATAAGGTATCAGACAAAGTCTGTTTTATCAGCGGTATTCTCATATTTGATTGCCATATCGGAAAAAAATAAGAATATTATATGTTCTTTCTTATGGTGCTAAATGCGTGTATTCCTGGACGGTTTTGGGGGCAAAGATTGCATTCAGGCTATAAACACCCTTGCATGGCTAGCTTCATAGTTATCAATTTTCTATACATTTTTCTTCTTTTAGTCCAATAAGCACAACATTGTATACATCCTATCCATTAATATTTCAAGAAATCTATCAATGAAATATATACTCATATATTCAAATACAAAATGATGTGTATGGGTATAACCATACTTGTCAAGAATATTGAATAAACTGTGAATAAACTGTGCATGGTGTGTGGAACAATGCATTTGAATTTTGTATGATTATAGTCTCTAAATGCACACTGAATTCCGTACTACTTTTGTTCTATTATATTGTGATCATTTTTAACCAGAATGGGTAGAGTTTTCTCCATATGAAGTAAGCATTCCAAAATATGGAGCGGCAATTGACATGAAAAATTTTGGAAGCGAATTCGACAAAGGACTACTAACACAACGAATCGACGAAATTCCACTTTTTAAAATAATGGGTGAGTTAGGATCGTAAGACCATAGTCAAATTGTTATTCATAACATATTTGTTCACAAGCGTTCTTTCATATTATAACTTCTCAATAAAACAAAGTGATTAAACAAAAATAACGGGCACCGAAATGTTCTTTGTACTTATGCAATAAGTCATATAAAATAAATTAAATTGAACTTCAGGGAAACTTTACAAAGAGAATAATTTTTAATTAACTACCAGAACATTACTAAATTACAGGTCCAAAAAATAAGTAATGAATACATTAAGGATCTAGCTGATACTTTTCCTAGTATTTCTGTAACTTTATTATATTATGAGCTGATTACGTTTGTCATACACAATTATTATGCAATCTAGTTTGTCTCAGTTTGATTTTGGTACAAAGGTCGATCTTATCTGTAATTATTTATTTGTTAGCTATTAAATTCTCCATGCTTTCAGGTATATGTGGGAGTGCTTTTACATTGACTCATGAAGAGTTGGCGAACAAAGGTAGGCAACTTGATATGCTCATGATCATCAAAAAGAACATTTGTTCAAGCTCTCCCGAAGCGACCATTCATATAGGAAGTTACTATCACGTATAGTCTGTTTTTAATCTTTGAAATATGATCAGATTGGACAGTGACATTACATTTATGCTGAACAAATAGTTACATCCTAATCAGTACTTTTATTAACAATAAAAGGTTTTCACTATATGAGTATAATTGTTATATTATCAATATGTATTTCCACCTGTTGTTAAGTTTGTTTATGCGTCTAATTTATTAAATTTCACATTTTTCTTTGTTGTAGATTCTAGTGATTTTATGACCAAACAGACAAGTGTTAAATCAAACAGGCAACATTTATCTACCAAAAACAAAAAAGAAAAACATTTAGATAAAAAAGGGTCTGTCACCTTGGACGTGTTGGACGGTCCTCCCAGAGAACAGGATGATAATGATAAAGCTATCGATTCATCTGAAATTGATGTTCTCGAAAGTGGATGTGCTTCTTGTGTAGACTTTAAAGAATCGAATGTGAGTAACTTTACTGAAAATGAGGATGTATTTCATGACGGAAAAGAACAAAGAAAACCTCAACTTATAAGATCACAACCAAGTGAAGAAGAAATGGAAGATTTGTTTGAAAGAGTGTGCCAGATTCGCAAAGAAGGCGGTCTTATATTTGAAGAGGAAAGAACCAGAGATGAGAGAGTTGTTGGTGATATTTTTAAAGAAGGCATGGCAGAGGCAGATGAACTCGATGGTGTTGGCGACTACTGTAAAAAATTGTAAGTGATATAATCTTTTAAGTATGACGATTTGAAAGAATCGATTAGTTTCATTGGACCTCGAGTCGTGTTTGAACAAAGTCAATCGATCTGACAATACCGTTTTTGTGTAGTTTTGAAAACTCAAGATGATACGAATGCCACTTTATTTTATTTACACTGTCTTTTTATTTGTGGATAACTTTTTGCAAATTGAAAATTAATTGCATAAACATTATTTAAGTAATATCACTCAATAAATGATATACCTTCTACCACTTCATCGAGTGTTATACGATATTTCTCCCCTCGAGACATTTAAACTTCAAAATCTTAGCATGTTAAAATCTCAATTTAAAAATTTAACTATTGAGAGTGGGAAAAATCGTATTGCACGAGAATCGGTGGTGGAATCTTTTTTTTTTAAAGATTTTTAGACGATAATTTTGCAAACAATTATTTTTCTTTTTCAGCGATCAGCAAAAACATGTTTTTTTTATGGTCACCCGTCTTCGTGACGTCTAAGTAGCCAACTGAGAGCAAACGAACCACATTTTAATAATAATTAAATAAACAAACGGTCAGGGAAAGTATAAATCTGCTACGAATTAAAAAAAACGGGTCTTGAAAAGGAGTTTTTAAATATAACTAATGTGTTGCATATGTTACCTACATGACATATGAGCATTCGTGCATATTGGCATGATTTTCAATCAAGTTAAGAAACATATCGTCACAATTCTACCTGTGTATCCTAAAAATGTTTCCGAAAGTTTATAGGTTACTGAAATCTCAATGTTCAGTTCTTTTAAATGTTAATTTCTTATGATAATAAAACTAACATATAGAGTTTCTTTGCATTATGTCTCAGTTCCTACAGCTTTGAAGCGCGAGTCTGTACCTACCTCTTCATACATTTTTATGTTTTACTTAATATATTATATACACAAATACTTTTGACTTTGGATAAACGACACTTTTTAGGCACACATCAATGAGACAGCTTCTCAAAGACACAAATAACCAAATCACATCTATAGAGCAACATATAGTTTTCATAGACGTATTTGTTTACAATATTTTAAGCTTTAAATCGTTCCGAGTTTAAAACCTAGTTTCGAATGAATTAAACAGAAATGATAAAAGATCTTCCACCAATACAAAATAATCTTGATAAAATAAATCATTAAGATATGAAATAAAACAATCACAAGTACTTACTACCACTTCATTTTAACTCTGGTGGATGATTGTCTCATTTGCAATCATACCACATCTCCTCATTCATATCATGAAGAGGTTCTTTACTTAGGACAGGCATTTTAAATGTGGCAAGGTTAAACTCGTATAAGCTAACGTGGAACAACAGGGCCATCTGAGGTATTGTCATTACTTGATGTCCTCGTCCCGTCGTCATCTGTCGTCGTTGGTGTAAACTTTTTTCATCAAAATTCTTTGCTAAAACCACTTTATTATTTGAAAAAAAAACATTATGTGAATCTCTTGAGGTGTTAAGTTGGTGAAGTTTATCTGGGATTTTGATAAGTCAATTAAGAACAATACAACAAAATGTAAAACTGCGTCGCCATGGCAAAAGGGTCTAGTAACCGCTCTGCTCCGTTCGTCCACCAGAAATACCTTGGATAGAATACGTTCGTCAAAGTGTTTTTGGCTTCTATGGAAGGGAATGATTTTTATATTTGTTCTGCAGCTTAAAGGCAAGCGTGTAAGAACATTTTACATCCGCGATGCAGACACTTCGTGCCTACCGATAGTCTGAAATTTTAAAACACTTATTGTACAAGGAAAATGTTCGTAATACTTTACTTGACTTCTATGGAAGGAAATTATTTTATATTTGATCTGTACCTTGCTAATGATGAGTTATAATGTTCAATCGTTTACTTATGTCGTGCAACCATGTTTAAAATTTTACAACACTCATTGTACAACGAAAATGTTCGTCAAACTTTTCTTGACTTGAAAGATGTTAGGCAATGATCGATTATACCTCAGTATACATGTTCCCTCAATCAATTACATGCCGCGAGGGAGTTTCGGACACTTTTTTTGGCTTGTTTGTGTTAAAGCTTTTAAAAACACTAAGGCAGTACTAGTTACAGTAAAACTGACATAGGCTGAAATGAATAGCAGGTCAAAACCATTTTCAATAAAATATTAGAAAACATTAAACCGCCAATTTTGAAGATATTGTCCATGAAAAGTCCATTTTCCTCTTTTTTTGTTTGGATATTATCTTGAAAACAATAAAAGTTTAAACAGCTAAAGCGATCAGCAAGACAGTAATTGCAAATAAATCGACAGTATCGAAATTACCAGTGGATTCCTTATGTTATATTGCCTTCAATGAATTTTTAGCGGAAAATTCAGTAGAGAGAAAATGTAACAAGCAAAAATGATCATCAAAATGAGATCTACAAATAACTAAAATGACCGAAATAGTTTGAAACTCCTTTATACAATATTTATAAGATTTTAACAACAAAGATGATTTTAAACCATGTCTATGTGTTTGGCAAACACTTAACTAGAAGAGAAAATATGTAAACAGCAGAAATGGTCAGTCAGGCAAGATCTACAAAAATTGCATAGTACAACATTATTAGACGTTTCCTTTTTAGAGTTATTGTCCCTTTAATGGCGATTTGTAATATAAAAAATAAAAAGCAGTGGTATGATTGCCAGTGAGACAACACTCCTCACATATTATAAGTAAGTAACAATATATCAATTTACGGTCTTCAACAATGACCAAAAATCATTCCGCATAGCAAACTAAAAAAAAACCCGAAATGACAAATGTTAAACAATTAAAACAAGACAACTAACGGCCAGTTTTATGTAAAAAGAATAAACGAAAAATCATTATACAGGAAACGAAAATAAAAGTAAAAAGAGGAAAAACACTTAAATCTGGGATACAATATGTATTAAAAACACAAGTACAAACGCAGAAACAATATGATACACTTATTGATATAATTGCTTGGTAAAATGTGTCATCGAATTCCATCATATTTGTTTATTTCGTTTTACTGTTGTTGTATTTGTTTAGCTTCATGAAAAGTAGACGTCACAGGGCGGCAATGGTAAATAACTTTATGCGGAAAGTGTCTTTTGATGAAACAGATAGTTGCCGTTTGCAAGGAGATAAAAATCGTAAGTTTGATATTCAAAGTTTTTAGTGCAATCTTAAACTGAATGGAGCATAAATTGCGATATAAACCTGTTTGCTTATTTTTTCTGGCTTATTCAAATAATTCAATAGAGCAATACAATCGCTGTCCAATATTATTGGTATTTGCTAGTATCACTTGAGAATTGTACATCCACTAACTATCTCGTCTTTTCGCTGCATAATATATCTTTACTAAAAGGCTGCCTTAACCAGCTGTATGATGTTTCTTTCCAAAATTTCTAATGAAATAAATTCATATTTACAAGTGTATTGCGATATACCGTATGCTAAAGAAATAGATTATTCAAAGTAACTTCCGATGTCAAATAACATTTTTCTTTACACAGATAACATACTTTTGATTGACATAAGGGAGATAATTGGACAGTTCCTGTTTACAAAATTTAACTTTCAATTTAATGTGATAGGTTATTTCATAATACTTCCTAATATATCTGGTTTAATGTACTTTTTTATGAAATTAGTGCAAAAAGGGCTACTGCCAGTCTACACAATATCCCTTCCAATTGACCTTTTTCAGGATCATACGGTTTCATAACCTAATGCAAAAAAAATATATGGCTTTATCATGTACCAGTATCAAGTTCCAGCAAAGGTCAAATTCTAGAATGTTAAATTCACATTTGACCTTGACATTAATGCAAGGGTCAAGATAGAAGGATACCAAATCAAAAGACAGTAGGTCTCACTTATATATCGTTTCCCAAAAATCTTATTTAAAACGTCCAATTCCTGTACCAATTGAACCAAATGTTTTTAGTTGTTACATGTCACAACAATTTGATAAAATCTTTTGTAATTATTTATCAAAGTTTCTGAGGAAAATCAAAATTCAAAATTGAGAATATGACCTTAATCTGTGGCCTTGACATCAAACTCCTTAAGGTGTACCAGTGATCTCTAATTAAAAGACTATAGGTCCCTTTAACTTGTGTTTTAACGAATTAAGTTTGTCTAAGTGAGAGTTGCACTTAATTCAATCTACACCAAATCATAAGGAAAGGAAAGGGCCTGAACATTATTATACTTTATTCACTTATTGAATTTTTAATTGTCAAATCTAAGCAATATTTTCTAAATTATAAAATGTCTACATAATGTGTACACAAATCCACTCACTGTACATGTTGTATTCATCAATATCATACATTAATATACACTCATTGGTTTGTAGTCGGACATATCAGGGGATACTGGTGTAGTTGGTTTTTTTTGCTGTTGAATTGCCAGATGAATTTTCAGAAAATGCATTGTAATGCAATGCTTTTTTTGGAAAATTATGTTTTGATTAATCGATCAATTGTTTTCTATAAAAAGAGGCAGAAGATACCAAGATGGTAATCACAAACCTTTACTCGAATAAAAATGTTCAGATAATGTAATGGCGATGAAGAAAAGGGACAAAAAGACAAATAACAGTCCACAAAACACTACACAGAAACATAAAGTTTGAGCAACAAAACCGAGGGTTAACATAGATAATCCAGAAATGTAAGCAGACCCTCCTTTACTAGTAACAACCGTCGTTTTGATAATGACAAGTTAAAACTCAATGATTTTTAGTGATGTTTTCAATAAAGGAAGAGGGAACGAGATTGAGGCAACGACATTTGGAACATATCCGTGGTGATCTGTGACAGTGCTTTTTCATAACGGTCAACTTTTATAAAGATTGTAATGTTGAACACATGTGCTGTTCATTGATTTTTGGGAGAGAAAATTGAAACTGGTATCTGGGCAATGATCTACTTTTTTATAGAATGGGGGATAGTGGGGTCAGTTTTGTTGTCCGTTAGTTTTGGTGATTACTTTAACCCTTTCAATGTATCATCTGTTCCACGTAGAGTTCTCAACCTCTTTGGTTGTCTCACCTGCCAGACTTAGACTTGCTGTTATCTTCAACTGTTAAGAGTTTTCATGTCAGTTTAAGAGGAACCGCTAATAATGTGTCAATGCTATATGTTGAGATATTGAATAAGCAAAGGCACATCTTAATGCCAAGGAGATTATATGGCCAGTCGCTTTAATCATAGTTCATTAACTTTTAAAAGTGAGCATAGTTAACATGTTAATGTGTGAAATTAGGTCAGTTGTAAGAGAACTACTAAAGATTATTTGCTGATATTTGGTCCCCAGTTGGCACATGCTTTTTATGGAAATAGTTTTGCTCAGTCCCCTCAGTCACGATCTAATCAATTTGAACTCTTTGTGTTTATACTATCTAAATTTCACACAGGCTAGACATATATGCATGTCAGCTCTTTATGTTATATATTAGGCAATTTAGATTAAATGCTCAAAATTGTTAAAATGTTTCCTGAAAGCTGTTGAAATTAGTTAACAACATAACAATATCTACTTCAAGTAATAATGCAGTAGGTCGTGTGCACTTATTTGTAGAAAGACACAAAAATATGAAAACCAAATTGAAAACATACTGTTTATGACGTCTTTACACTAAATCCATTGGATTTTGGATGTGTACTGATTGATAATTTAGTCTTAGATGCATGATTTTTTTTATTAGTTGTTATTGGCTTTTAACTAGCTGTCAGTAACTGCGAGTACTCTCAGATCTGTACTTGGTGTCCTTTTGTTGTGGGGATGTATAAGTACCCGTCCACGTCCACTCTGTGTTTTTGTTAGATGTATTTCTATTTGTATCCATCTGATGAGTTAAGCCTTTTTCAATTGATTTTAATAGTTTGTTCTTATGTTGTACTTTTACACCACTGTCCCAGGTTAGGGGGAGGGTTGGCGCCTTCAAACTAGTTTAACCCCGCCACATTCTGTATGTGCCTGTCCCAAGTCAGGAGCCTGTTATTCAGTGGTTGTCGTTTGTTTGTGTTACATATTTGTTTTTCGATCATTATTTATTACATAAATTAGGCCGTTAGTTTTCTCGTTTGAATTGTTTTACATTTGTCATTTCGGGGCCTTTTATAGCTGACTATACGGTATGGGTTTTGCTCATTGTTAAAGGCCGTACGATGACCCATAGTTGTTAATTTCTGTGTCATTTGGTCTCTTGTGGAGAGTTGTCTCATTGGCAATCATACCACATCTTCTTTTTATATTTGCTCAAGGTCATGCGTTTCGGATGTATTATGATTGATATTTTAGTCCGGGAGAACATGATTTATTTGTTAGTTGTAATTGGCTTTGCACTAGCTTTCAGTTATGCGAGTACCCCTATTTTGGTGTTTTGTGTCTATTGTTTTTATGTTAGTTTTTTTTGTGCCTCGTACTAATCTTTTGAGTTAATCTAATTGCAAACGATTTTTACAGTTCGTTTTTATATTGTACTATTACACCACTAGTACATTTCCAGTTTAGGGGATGTTTGAGTGCTCACAAACATGTTCATCCCCAATATTCAGTGTGTGCTTGTCCCAAGTCAGGAGCTTGTAGGTCAGTGGTTGTCGTTTGTTAATTGTCTGTAATGTCTGTAATATTTGTTTTTATGCCCCCACCACAGCGGAGGTGGCATTAAGTGTTACCCTTGTCCGTCCGTCCGTACGTCCGTACGTCCCAAAATTAGTTTCCGTTCTCTAACTTCAGTTTGCATCAACCAAATGTTATGACACTTATACACAATGATTATTACCACAAAACACAGATCAAGTTCGAATTTGGGTTGCGTCACTTTTACCGTTCTTGAGTTATGTCCCTTTATAACGTTATATGCAAGCGGGTGCATCATCTGTGTCCCATGGACACATTCTCCATTTACTAAGTATTTATAAATGGTTTTGTTATTTATTAGCCCGTTGGTTTTCTCATTTGAATTGTTTCACAATTTCCATGTCGGGTCCTTTTATAGCCGACTATACGATATAGGTTTTTTTCATTGTTGAAGGTTGTATTGCGATTTTCTAGTTATTTGATTTTTTCCCGCCGTTTGTGTTTCTGAAATTTCAATTTTGTTACGCATCTAAAGATATTTTATATATGATACCCTTTCGCAGCACCTTTTCGCGGTTTTTGTCGGGGTTATTCAATCTTTAGTTTCCAATGTTGTGTTTTGTAGACTTTTTGTTGAATTTTGCTCTGGCGTTACCAGTTTGTTGTCGAGTTATGAGTTTGAATATCCCTTTGGTATTTTCGGCCCCTTTTCCTCAGGATAATCTGTTAGATTTGGACGGACGCGGTCTGGTTACATAACATAATAGTTATTTCCTTTTTTGTGTTTAGTGTGGTTTGTTTTTGTATTTTATAAAGCGTAAGTCATAGATACCAACACCAGAAAGTAATTTTTGTCTTAAACGGACATTTTGATCGTAACATCATCTGAAAAGTCTGATACTAAAAAGATTTAGTTTTTTAGATATCTTAATGCAGTAAGTTAAGTACTGTTCAGATATTTTGCTTACAGTCAATACAGTACTGTTCAGTACCTTTTCAGACAATTTGATATATGTTGTTTCGTATTGGTAAACAACAACTATTGAAAAGTCTGAACAAAGACTAAAGTCTGCTCTTAATTGACAGCAAGCGATTGTCTGAACAGTACTGAATTGTTTTTCTTAAGGAAACTAATATGTGTACTAAAGAACATGTTTTATTTATATATTCTTTTTAAGTGAACGGACCCAAAGTGTCAAGTAAGCTATTAGTCGTCGTCGTCGTCGTATATCGTTTGTTACGTTTTATCAAAAGCTGCTTCTCTGAAACTACTGGCCAATCAGAATCATCATGTGTCCGATGATTACGTCTGCGAAGCAACTTGACCGACATGGCTTAAAAGACAAAAACAAAAATGATCAGCAATACAAGATCTACAAATAAATCACATAGCGTTATTGTGCATGCTAAAAAGACAAAAACAAAAATGATAAGCAATACAAGGTCTACAAATAAATCACATAGCCAAAATTGTGCATGCTTAAAAGACAAAAACAAAAATGATTATCAATACAAGATCTACAAATAAATCACATAGCCGAAATTGTCTGTTGACGTTTTGTATTGCTAATTACCCTTCAAAGACAATTGTGTATGACTTATTGCGATTTGGTCAAAACAATATCAGCTAGAGAGAAACTGTTAACATTAAAAATTATCTGTAGGACACGAAACAATGTCAAATATGGCAACACAGCCTGAATTGTCAGTCCAATTTTCATAGGGAAAAATGTCCTTGAAAGTTGAGTTTTACTCAATTTCGTATATTAGTAGATACTGTGAAACATAACAGAAAAACATATCATCAGTATTAGATCAACAAAAAAGAGATTTTATTCATGAATTATATTTTAGTATACAATGTTGGATAGTTGTCATTGTTGAAGATACATTTATAGCTAGGTGAACGACACAGGCTTTTAGTTAAAACATAAAACTAATCGATTGGAAATTATATTAACAAATTCATCTCGGTCACCATATTTTGATTTAAGATATCTTACCATGCATAGTGAGATAATCAATCTTTCTTTTTCAATCTTAAATCATAAATGGATACAAAAACGGGACACATATTTACACTACAGGGTATGACAAGAATCGTCGTTGGTACAATTTATATTATGTATTATCGGTACAGATCTTATTGCACCAGATAAGCATTTTGACAATTAACGTCTCTTCAGTGATGCTCGGGGCCAAACATTCATATAGATGTTGAAGAGCTGACAAAACTATAAAGGACCAAAAGTTAAGCCAATACCAGAGCTATGCATGTGGGAGATACATTGATTAATTCAAAATGATTTCTGATTTTTTTCAACAAAACATTTAAAAAGATTATTATCCGTATTATAATAAATTAAGACGATAGTATTTAAACAATGTTCAGAGATAAATCAAGGTAACAAACAAAAGCTGATGGAATCGCATGAACTCTAAAAGGAGCGATACAGTTTGCGTCGACAGGGTAAGCGATACAGTTGCGTCGACATGGTAAGCGTCACCTGCTATGCACACATCACTCGCCATGCGAATTCACACTCAGTCAAACTGTCACAATCGAGAAAAGGGTACAATCGGTAAAATTATGTATCAGACGAATTTTCTTTTTTTATTCGAGCATCACTGATGAGTCGTTTATAGACGAAACGCGTGTCTGGCGTAATATATGTTAACCCTGGTATCTATGATGAGTTTATTTACTGATATACTAGTTACTTTATATAAAACAGTAACAGAATCGTTTTGGAGATTTTCCTGGTACATTTCATATTGTTCCTCTGAATTCTACTATACATGCCTATGAGAAACGCTTACAAAACATCAGCATCATATGTATGCGAGAGACATGTAAACAGACGTTCATTAAAATGTTTAAGTTTTTAACTTTAAATATTTATACATGTATGTCGAACCTTACATTTAACGCGTTTATGGATATATGAATATACCACAGGCTGTTAAAATATTTAAATGTATTTAAAAAAACAGGTTCATTCAAATTAAAGAGTTTTATCTTTTCAGCTTTATTTGAGAATTACTTAAAAAATGACATTGAGAAGTTGTGTTTGATCGATGCTGGTTTAGCGTTCAACTCTCCGTATCCACTTCTCTTCAAACCCGGTAGGGACGTAGACCTCATCCTGTCATTTGATTTTACAGACCGAAAAAAAGATTCCAATGACCCTTTCAAGGTAATAGCATGTGACTTATACATGAAAATATATTGTGAATGCCTTGACCACGAATATATATATTATATACATATATGCATGTCTCTTCTCTCAAACATCAAATGGATATATAAAAACCTTCTTGGTATAATTTTGCAATACACAGTGAAAAAATGTCTACATCTCATCATTGTTTCATACTGTCATTGTCATCTTTGTGTGTAATGAGATATGAAATTACTGTTAAAATCTTTTAATGTTTCACATAGTGTTACTTTTATATTTGTTTTCCGGAATGTTCTTTATACAAATCCGTATCTTTTAAGGTGATTTTCGAAAAGAAATAAACTGGTTTGCGAAGAAAACACTGATTAAAATGTCAAAATGGGAAATGTTAAAAAAAAAGGGTATAGTGCACTTGCATCACACTTCACATTTGAAAATTGCTGTATAAGTACATGCTAAATTAATTGCGTTAATCCGATGAATATAAAACGTGTTTTATGTTTTTAGACATTACTAACAGCAGAAGATTGGGCAAGAAAACATGAGATTAAATTTCCAAAAATCAACGTTGACAAGTATGAAGGCAAGAATGTGCAAGAACTGTACATTTTTGAAGATGAAAATGATCCCGAATGTCCTATTATCATGCACTTTGTATTGGTGAACAAAGATTTCAGAACGTACAAAAAACCAGGTAGGCAGGTATAAAATACCAACTTACAAAAAACCAGGTAGGCAGGTATAAAATACCAACGTACAAAAAACCAGGTAGACACATATACAATGCCAACTTACAAAGAATAGAATATACTTTGAACTAAAAATCTATGAAACACTCTGCTTTTTAGGACTATCGTTGTCCAAATTTATTCTTTGTTTTTGACAAATGTACTTCATTAATGAAACGCAATATCAATCAAAATATTTCACTTAAATTATGGTCGGGACACCGAACATTTATTACTGCTATAATTTGCTGCTTCTTTAGGGGAATGACAGCGCACAAGCAACGGAACACAATGGTTTAAGTACTGAATTAATATATTTGAACTATTTTGCAGATAAACGATATAATAGTGATATGAAATTTAACAAGCAGTAAACATATTTTTGATTTCTTTTATCAGGTTAGCTCAAGACGGAGAGTTAAGAAGGCTCATTTCACATAATTCAATGTTTGATAAAACGCAATTAGTATAAAAGATAAATTTTATGTACTTGAGAACTCTCAATTTGTAGTAAAATATTCATATATTATAAATCATTTCATTATCAAAATAATGAATAATGAGCTAACATCACACAAATAAAAAAAAAAGAGAAGTTTACTAATCAAGCCTTGTATCTTAGGGTTTCAGTGTTTTTCTCCGGTTTTCGTGTGCATTTGCTAGATGTATAAATAGTTATCTTATCTCATAACACTTCTAGGAATATCATTGGTTTAAAGCGAACACTTAGAGACCGTGTATATTTAATATTTGGTCAGTGGGCGTGCTTTATTTTAATACACGGCTAATAGTGGTGTTACGTCCCTGTATAAAACAATACACGGTTAGTAGTAGAGTTACGTTCCTTTAAACAAAAACCTTGTTGTTATTAAATAAAGAAACATTCTAAAGGTACATAATTATGATATTGCCATGCTTTTAGACAAAATATGTCTTACAGACGCTGATTTTCTCACTGTAAATAATTGAATTGTGTTAACATTTTGATATCAAAGTTTTCAACTATGTCTAGATTGACGATATTAGATAGTCGGTAACATAAATTCGTTACACAGTGTGATAGTGACCTAAAACGATATATACAGGGTCGTTAGATGCCATATGGGATTTACTCACCCTGTATTTATAATAATATTATCACTTATTAATAATTAGTTGTACTTTAGGAGTCAAACGAAATGAAACTGAAAAAGAGTTCGCTAACTTCACAGTATATGATGATCAGAAAACATTCAACTGCACCAACTTCCAGTACAGCGCGGAAAACTTTGACAGATTGTCACAACTTTCTGAGTTCATAGTTCTGAATAACATTGTCCATATCAAGGCCTGTATAACCAAAAGCATCCAAAACAAACAGAAACGGAAACAGACTGGCAGGCAACGGCATCCATCGTCTCCTGTGTAACATTATCTACTTGTATGGAATAGGACAACCGTCAAAATTATATTCATGATGATTTTATTTTCGTTACATGATATATTTATCAATATGACATTCCTTTTTTTATTTGTCCTAGTGATGCCCCTTTGCATATTTTTTTATTCCTTTCTGTTTTTCTTGTGTTGATATTACTTTACCATTTTAGAGTTTTTTCACCCAATATGAAAAAAAAATGAATTTAACTTTGTGATAGCATTTCGTAATACAAACTACATAATACCTTAAAGTTGACTGCAAATAGCAAAGTCTAGTCGACAGATGACAGGCTATTAATTGCAAAAATATGTGTTCAACTCGGTTGGCTCAAAAAGTGGAACATTGTGTCGAAAAAAAACTTATTTACTATTGATTTCCAATACTTAAAACAAAATTATTTGGTATCGGTTATATTCCGTTAAGACTATAATGATATTGAATGAATGAATGAATTGATATTTTATTGCAGATGCAAAATTAATGCTGTAGTAAAATTACAAAATATTTAAATTGGCAATTATAAAATTAAACAGAGAACAACATAATCAAGTCATAACAAGCGCAGAAATATAACTATTATGCAAATATAATTAGTGATCTTAGCTTCCATGCCGCAGTTAGACATTTACACAATTTTCGGTTAAATTCTCTGTGCTAGCTTGCAAAAGAAATACAAGTTTTCTATAATTTGGCCATGAACAATAATATTTAGCTAAAAACTGTACCCTCCTAGCTCTAAAAGCAGTCATATTGAAATATGAACAACGTCGAATATTCAGTTTTAGTGTTTGATTTGTTGGTTTGTTTCAAATGAAAGTGTTTATGCAGAACGACTAAAACAATGTGTCCATTGACACACCAAATTTATTGTCCACTACATATATAAATTAAACGCTAAGCCTCATACAAACAATATGACTGTTTGTTGTTGATTTGTTTTTGTTTTTCCGTGTGAATTTTGATTATATATTTATATACATATAGATTTCCAAACAATGTAATTTTAACACACTATTTAGTATGTAGAAATAAAAAATAATATATATTTATATATCAAATATTGTTTTTCTCCCTTCAAGGACAATTAGATATTTATATTGAGTAAATAATGTGTCATATTAACCTGTTTTAGAGATATAAAATTATTTGAAATCTTTACAAACTGAAGGATTTTTTGTTTCAAATCACCTACAGAAACAAGTGACCGTATCTTTAAAGTGTCAATAAATTTTCTCAAACGTGCCTATTATCGAATTATAGTGACATATTTCTGTCTGAATAATTGAAAACAGTTATACAATCGGGACGAGTAAGAGCGTAACATGTTGTTAAGACATTTGTCTATTGTGTAAGACTGTATGTTGACATCTTATGGCTATTTATTTGTCATTGGCGTATACCAGGGATATCTTTTTATTCATAATTACCTATTTCATACTATTAAGTTAACTATGACGGACAAGATTATACCTTCGAACTGCAATTCAATATATGGATGTTATATTGGTTGTTTGATGTTAATTGGGGCCTGTGTGGCCGAGTGGTCAACGTTGTTTAAGTATCACTAGCCTGTAAACACTGAGGTTGAAAGTTCGAGTCCGGCACGTGACAGGTGCGTTCGACCCCAATCTTAATTGAATAGGATTGTCAGTTTTCCTACCGAAGGTCGGTGGTTCTCACCGGGCACTCCGGCTTCTTCCACCATTAAAAATTGGCCGCCGCAAAATAGCCAACAGTGCTGAAAGGGACATTAAACCGCAATCAATCAATCAATTTGATGTAAAGTAAATAATGATAATTCAGTGTTAGGAGTTGCTTTGTGAAGATGTGTTTAGATAAAAGTACTAAACCTGTGGAGATAAGACTACCATAAGACTCTGAAACACAAATGTACATGAATTTCATATTAGTAGCTTTACTTCACTGTACATGTCATGTAGAAACGACAAAATAGAACAGGAAGACACGACGGTTTACAATCGTCCGAGCACACTATATAGAATGTCAATAGAAAAAACAAACGGAACATTTAAGTTTTGCATCAAACTAAAAATCAGCGAATTGATGTTCATACTGACATATACTGCATGCAATTATAGAACAACAATAGTATGATTATCACTTTTATCAGTATGCTCATAAGGCCAAACAGACAGAACTGAAAGACAATTATCTTAACTCTTTAGCTTTGAGGAAATATAAAAGTAAAAAGGTTGGATTTAAATACCAGTTGAACAGTTCCTGCAGTTGATACTTCCTCACCTTTCCACTCTACAATAACATAAATAGTGCCAATTTGATTGCCTCAGATGAGCATCACAACAATCACTGTCTCTTCTATGATGCTCGACACAACTGTAATATTCCAGACTTGGTACAGGCATTTTCCGAGAAAAAAAATAGTGGGTTAAACTAGGTTTTATAGCAACCCAAACATAAATATTAGGGTAATTTGATAATAATTGGGATCCAGCAGCTAAAACTGTGTAAACAAACATCACAGACATACAACACATCTGACTAAATAATTCAAACAAACATAAAAAAAGATATTACAAAGACGCCAACAAAACAGTTTGCAGAAAATAGTATATACAGCAAATAAAAACATAATGATGTACCAGTATACACTCTCCCGATATAGTACAAATTTAGTAAAACTTTCCGATTCAGACTTGAAATATCAATGATGTGGTCACTCCTGTACACTTCCTATTTATAAATATTTAGATTAAACGAGACTTATTCGTCAGGATTTGTAAGAACTTTTTGCTTTTCAAGACTCTTTAAGTTTTAAAAACAGCTGTTTTGTTTCGAACGATACTAATGAGAAGAAGTTAGAAGAAAAACACTTATAACATACTTCGAATAAGCCTGGTATCTTATCTTCATATAACCTAACCAGGCACAGACACAGATTTAATGGTTTTAATTGTATCCTAGTTTAACTTCATTCACTTCAATTTGTACTGAATCTTATATGAAGTACAGTAACCAATATAAGAGCATATGACAGCTTAATTGTATACCAGCAGGTTAAGTATCAGTAACACGAGAGAGTGCTTGTCAATTATCTATTTTACATTGAGATTGTAAGAAAATTATATCAATATTTATTCGATTTCTTTACCCATATTATCCGTAGTTGATGTGACCCAGTATCTGAGATTTAGTGCTATCACAATCTTGCAAGGAATTCCACTCGGACTGGTATGAAGAGTGGTCATTAATTTGAATAAAAATGTAACCTTTTGCTTCTGTTAAATGCATAACTGTCTGTTTGAACTTGAAAACAGCATTTATAGTTCCGTTCCCTTGCCTTAAGTGTTGTCAAATGTGCGTAGGGGTTTTATGTAATGAATTAATACTCCTTATCCCTTATTTTCCATTGACGAAAGAAATGTAAATTAATAAACATTGGAAAGGAGATGTAATATGGCGTCCAATGTGACAACAAACCACCAAAATACAAAATGACAAAGATAATAACAACTTTAACGAAGTAGTTAATTTTGGTTTTTTATTTCATTTGATCTAAGAACCACTAATGAGTCTTATCATGTGGAGCAGGATCTGCTTACCCTTCCGGAGCACCTGAGATCACCCCCAGTTTCTGGTGGGGTTCATGTTGCTTAGTCTTTACTTTTCTATGTTGTGTCATCTGTACTATTATTTGTCTGTTTGTCTTTTTATTTTTGGCCATGGCGTTGTCAGTTTGTTTTCGATCTGTGAGTTTGACTGTCCCTCTGGTATCTTTTATCCCTCTTTTATATAGACCAAACTCGCATCTCACATACTGCATGTTAAGTCTGGTATACTAGATTAGTTTGTATCAGTGCCCGTACGGTCAAATAGTAATTTTCCGAACACTCCTAATTTCAATTAATTTCTTCAGTGTTCTAACATGATATTTTGAAAATAAAAGTAAGTTAAAATATTTGTATTACATATATTGTTTTGCTTATAATTTCTAAAAGCTATTTCTCCTGCTTTTATACAACTACATTTAAAGTTGCGTCTTCACAATAGAAATAGTTTTACAGCAAAGTCCTTATCAACAGATTTTAAAACATTACAAAAAAACCCACTTTCTTTTAGTAACTTGTAACATTCTTTGATATTATAAAGACAACGGTAATATCACGAAGTTACACTGAAATACAGGAACAAGAATGATGTGTGTGTGTGTGTGTGTGTTTTAACAGTATTTATTCAAAACCACGAGGCATGTTGTTGATATCTAAACACTGAACTAGTATATATATTTGTTTAGGGGCCAGCTGAAGGACGCCTCCGGGTGCGGGAATTTCTCGCTACATTGAAGACCTGTTGGTGACCTTCTGCTGTTGTCTGTTCTATGGTCGGGTTGTTGTCTCTTTGACACATTCCCCATTTCCATTCTCAATTTTATTTAAATACAACAAAAGGTAATTGCATCATTCTTGTCTTACTTCAATAAAAGATCATTTTCAAGTTCATACATACACAATTTAAAAATGTAAATAGTGTACTTTTATAGCTTACTATGCGGTATGCGCTTCGCTCAACGGTGTTCTATAGCTGTTAACTTTCTACGTCATTTTTTTTCTTGTTGAGAGTTGTCTCATTGGGAAACATTATTTTTTTAACATTCAGTTTACATCATTTTGAGTACATATAAATACGACATCACTGATCTGAAAGCACCAAGATTACACTGGGATAGGGACCATGCATCAGCTACGTTGGAATAATTTTAGTATTTCTTTCAAAGTCAAATAGAAATGCTGACCCTTTAGGGGCTTATAAATTCACGAAAGTTGTATTTTCTTTCTCTGTATGTCCTTAACTAACACGACGCTCTTTATTCTTGGATAAATTTCTTTTCTTTGAAAAAAATAACTGAAAATTATTTTAAAAAAATAACCTAAAACACCTCCACCACTTTCAAGATTGAATTTTCTGACTGTTTTACCAAGTGCCAAAAAAAGATGGCAAGTAATTGGAATCAGTTAAAAATCGTAAAATTACCTGCCCTGGTAAGAACTAAGACCAAACTATATATAAGTTAAAATGACAATTCCGTCAGAAAAAAAATCTTCCTGTTCTCCCCACCTAACATAATATCATAATAAAATGGTCGTCCCTTAACCATACATTTCATGTTAGTTATTTAAAATGGAAATGTTATACAGTACGTGTAAAATCTGTTTCTCTGTTTCAGTTATTATGCATGGTATAATATATACTTCCCTATTCAATTGGAAGATTTGCATGTAGACCAATTTCTTTATAAAAACTTTAGTAATATCAAATCAATGCCGTGAAGGTTTTTAAAAGAAATTGACTTGGGTGAGTCCCAAGTCCATATTTAAAATTTTGGTAAGTTCTACCATTTAATTCGTCTTTTTTTTTTAGTGTTCAAGAAAAGGACTCATCAGGGTGCTTTACCGAGAACCCGGTCTATGTCAGATATTTTAACTAACTAACTAACATTCATGAAACCTTAAACTGAACCTTAACTATAAACCACAAGAACCTCGAATGTAAAAATGAATTCTTAATCTACCAATACAATAATTTCTGTAAAGATATATATATAGCTGGAGGAAGGACACCCTTTGACTGCGTAGGGTTTCAGTGGAGAATTAAAGCAGACATTCAATCTGATGCAAAGCTATGTAAGTTATATCCAAGACTCAGCATGATTAATCTATGTAGACTTGTGGTCTATTACAATACATTTTTTTGTGCACCAGATGCGGGTTTTAAAATAAAGGCCTCTTACATGATGCTCCAGGCCAAACAGTTGAAAAAAACCAAAAACCTAATATAAACGTTAAGGAGCTGATAAAACCCAAAGAGGATCAAAATTAAATTTGATAAGCAGTGCATGTAGGTTACTTATATTTGTTGTTTGGAATGAATATAAGGTGTTTGCCTGCTGGGTTTATCTGATCTTAGCCTCATTTACATGGATATTTGATTATGTTAATATATATATATATACATATACAAACAAGTCTAAATTGAAACAACGTTCAAATATATTAAATAAAACGTATCTATGTAATAAAATTTGGGTAAACTATTCTCTTGTTCAGCAAATTTTATAACAATACTTTTGTTTATAAAGCTAACATATCTCGGAAATGTCCTTCACATCTTTCGTTTTTGCTTAATAAACGTATTGATATAGGTTAACATTATTACATGTAGACCAGTATAACAATCAACAACAGAATGCTTTTTTAAATAAAACATATTTAATTTTATAGCCAAGTGTTTCGTCGAAAATTAGATCAAAGATGTTATTTCCTGGAAGTCACTTATAGATACGGTGGGTGACCTAAATTTCCGATTTAAAAAGGATTGTCACTGAAATAAACATTACATTGTGTAAGTACTATAAATATTTATTAATTATTTTATCCGAACCGTTCGATGTTTGCCACATCCATTTATATAAATTTGAATTCATATGCATTCATGATCTGTTTTATGGTGTGACATTTAGATGTTTAATTCCATGTTCAGTAAAAACCACCTATAACAGTGTAAAGTTAACTTTTTTTTCCTTTTTTTTTTTTATTTCTGAAGCATTTATCATGTTTATACTTCAGTAATATATTTCACTTTTATAGAAAAAAAAATTTAAACAAAATAAGATGTCTATTTTTTAGTACTGATTATATATGATCTATAGTTAAACATAATTTTTATAAAACAAAAATTATTAGAATGTATAATAAAGGCAACAGTAGTATATTTGACACTGGTCAATTTGGGTTTGGGGTCAGTGTCGAGCCTTAAAATATGGCTTCAGATGACAAAGAAATATTAGAATATTCGTTATTTAGGTATTATTAGGGCGGTTGATTTGTCGTCATTTAAAATTTAATTATAGTGTCCTTGACTGGCGATCGCGAATTGACATTGATGTCTCATTCGTAAAAAATATATATTTGATTGAATGGTTTTCTATCCACCATACGATTTTCATTGGACCATTCGCATTTTACGTCATAAGCTGAGCCTGGACACTTATTATTTACAAGTTAATGGTTTGCGCTGTTTAATTTTAATAAAGTATTTTAAAGTCTGTGTAATCATACGGAATAATGCAATTTATGGAATTTATAATAAATCTTGGCTTAAATAGTCATTAGATAATTTTTGAATGTTCGAATATTTGTCATTTTATTTGGCATTCCGTTTTGTCCGACAACTTGAAATGTTATGTAAAATTGGGATCAGATCTAATCTTTCTTAAAATCTGTCAGGAACTGTCAGGAAAACAGTCTCTAGAACATTCGGTTCTTTACATCCTTGGCTTTCAGATATTTAGCTTTGAGCTTTCGTGATAAAGTTAAATCCAGAATAGCGTTTCGGACGCATGAATTTTATAAAGTCTTGTTTTATTTTTTTCTGACAGTTCTGCCCTTGACCATAACCTGACATTTCTATCTCTTGAACAGTTTTGTTTATTTATTTATTTATTTATTTATTTATTTATTTATTTATTTATTTATTTATTTATTTATTTAATTATTTATTTATTTATTTAGTTATTCATTTATTCACCGTGTATATAAAAATAAAATGGGGATATCTATTTTTTAGCGTAATTTAATTCAATGCCACAGTTTAATTTTCAAAATAGTCAGCAAAACTGGGTAATACACGGAGATGTGAAGTTATTGTGATAACCCGAATTGGAACTTTTTTCTAAATGAGAAATATATTTAAACCAATCTAAGCCAAAATTTACTTGCGACATAGCAAGATTATTCAAGATATCCGAAAAACGCCACAATGTTGTTAGAAAATCAAAGTTCACTAACGAAGCTGTTATACTGTGAATTTCCGTATTTTTTGAAAGACTTCTGGCATGATATAAATTAATGTGAAATTGATCCCACCACTAAAGGTTGAAAATGTAACTGTTTAAACTATATTGTGTCAATCAACTTAAATGAACCTCAAACCTATGCAATGTCCTCAATTTCCTGTATAAAAGGAGAGAACAGCTGACTTGTGTGCAATTAAAAACTTTAAAAACCTACATTGATTTATTGTAGACCAGTATATCAAGCTATAACAGTCTTTTTTTTAACCAATATAATTATGTAGCCAAATGTTGTGTTGAAAATTAGATAAAAGATGTTTCTTCCTTCAAGTCATTTGTAGATCCGGTATGTGACCTAAATTTCCTATTTAACGAGGATTGTCACTGGAATAAACATTATACAGTGTAAGTACGTGCATGTACATATTTTAAAACTATTTCATAAGTACAGATTCTTGTTTAACCCGTTGATTTTAATATATAAGATTTGAATTTCTAGACATACACGACTTTTGTTATGGTGTTGACATTTAGATGTACTACATTTCCCTGTTCAGAATAAAATCGCTCATTACAGTGTAAACTATTTTTATTTCGGAAGGATTTATACTTCAGTAATATATTTCACTTTTATATAAAACATGTTCAAACAAAATAAGTCGAATGAGATGACTAACATGTGTATTGGACTAATATTGTAGTATCGGTAGTTAAACATAATTATTATTAAACTATTACATATTTGACACTTGTCAAATGGGTTTTGGGTCAAGGTCGTGCCGAAAAGTTTTGAATAATAGAACGTCCGTCATGTAATAAAAGGTAATTTATCCGTCATTTTTTAAATTTAAGTATAGTTTCCTTGACTGGCGATCGCCAATTGTCATTGCAGTGTCTTTCGTAATAAAATTCTACAACAGATTTTTGTCGTCGACTGTCATATTCCTGACTTGTTATAACTACTTTCCATGTTGTGCGATTACACACCTAAACAATATTAAGAAACTAAGGTTCCAACTCCCTCTTGCAAAGTTGCCCTTAGATGGAATTCATTAAATTAGTTCCGTTTTGGTCATATATATAGCTCTTCTTTTGTTTCGTTTCCTATCATCCTTGGCTGTCAAATATTCAGCTTTGAACGTTCCTGATGAATGTAAATCCAGAAAAGCGCTTCGGACGTATAAAATTTGTAAATGTTATTTTCATTTTGTTATTGGTGCACTGGGTCGAAACTGTTGCTGGTGAACTATCAGTCTCCGAGGATATCATCAGCTTATTAGTCAGATCTGGTAGTGCCATGATGTTTAACATACATATTCTTAATTGTCCGATTTATCAATTAAAGAGTATTTAGAAACTAAGGTTCAAACTCCCTCAGTCAAGCTAGAACTTGGATGGATTTGACTGTTATTTTTTGGACGTTTTTGGTCATATAGCTCATCAAATATTTGGGTACTTATATATCTTTGACTTTCAAATATTCGGCTTTGAGTGTTCCCGATGAAAGAAAACATGAAAAAGCTCTTCGTACGCATACAATTTGTAAAGTGTTTTTGCAATTAAAAGCGATGAGTTTAACAATGTTTACACAATATAGAACTTTTCAGAATGGAATTTGATTTGGTCTTCATATGCAATTCTCTGAGTTCTTATGCCAAACCATGAATATTCCTTGCCCATCCCGAATTCGTCTTTGAGTACCGATTTGGTTAAGCTCTTAATTTGAGGGCATTTCTAGTACATGTATAGGACAGTATTGTAGTATCAATAGTATTAAGTTAATATGCTCTAACATAATTGAATAAAATACATGAAATATACAAAAGGGATATTCAAACTCATAAGTCGAAAACAAACTGACAATGCCATGGCAGAAAACGAGAGACGACGAAAAGACAAACAACAGTACACAAAACACAACACCGAAAACTAAAGACAGAGCAACACGTACTCCACCAAAAACCGGGGGTGATCTAAGGTGCTCCAGAAGTTTAAACATAATAACCTTGGACCTTGGTAAATATTTGCTTAAAGGTCAGAGAAAACTATGTCAAAATATTGACCTTGGTTAATATTTGCCTAAAGGTCCTAGAAAACTATGACAAAATATTGTCACTGACATTTCATCAGTAGGGCATATTCCTGTTTTAAAGTAGGGTCACTGTGACTCGGCAGGATAAAATAAGTGAAGAGTTTGGACTTATTTTTTCCTTTTTATTCTGTTTTTACTCCACTTTTCTAAAGGGAGCCACTGGGTGAAGATAAATACATGGCAATTTGTAACTGTAATCTAACTGAAGTGGACTTACAAAGCGCTTTTATATATGTTAAATATGTAACAGATGTTACAGTTTTAAGTACTATCAATTAATATTTCCTTATACAAAACTAAATGACAAATCCTATAAAAAAATCGTGTCACAAAATGTATCTAATAACATTATCATACACGAAGACAAAAGTCATATTCATAAAAAGATTTGGATAATTTAGAATTGTTTATATTGATTACAGATTGCAAAAAATAAACTTGCTCTTTCGGAAGTTTTGTTTAATCGAGAAACCTTTAACCTAATATGTCGAATATTTCTATTACATTCAACCATAAAAGGCAATGTCTTTGTATCGAAAATGATGACTCAGTGGTTTTTTTATTTACTTCCTTTAGGTTTTTTTATATTAGTTCATAGAAAGTTTACCCCTATTGTTATACTTTTCTTTGAATATAATAACTATGAAACCTTTGTATATTGTCAGCTGCTGTAGTTGGCACGGTTAGTTAGCTAACTTCTCAAGTTACGGCTGGTTCTTAATTGTGGATTTTAGTAACAATGATATGTGTGTCGTGTGTCGTATGTAAGTTAGAATTAATCTATTTATCTATAAATTTGTTTCCTTTTGTTTATTGTTGTATTGTGTACTAAACAAAAACATAGTATTTTATTCCAAAACATTGCTATGATGAAAAACTTGGCAATGATGAAGAGTATTCCAGGAACATATACCATTATATTATACTGAAATTTCAACAACACTACAAGGTATATAAACTGATAAAAGCTAGTTAATTATTTGGCAAATTGACTCCAATTTGAAATAAAGTAGACATTTATTATAGACTATTCAACCGGAAGGTAAGTTCACAAAAAGTTAATTACAAATTTGACATTTTATTTCATTAATGCTTCAGGTAATTTGATAATTTACGACTCGCATAAATGTTTGTTAGCGGTATGGATTCAATATTCATGTGTACAGGTTAAAACGCAGTATGTTCAGTATATTTCCATCAGCTTGAACATTATTTCTAGGGATAATAAGTCCACAATGCTGATAGGGAGCGTCGCAAAATAGCTTATAGCATTTACAAATGCAAAAAGTAGAATTTTATACAGGTTCGATCGATTGATTGCTGTTTGCTAACATCAAGTGACAAATTCCTCATGCATATTTAGGACAATAATAAATTAAAAATAATCCAATGGATGGATTCCTCAGAGTGGTTCGACCAGAATGAGCACACAAGCTTAGTTTCAATTGCAGCTGTAACAGTAGAATATGTTGGACAAGGACAACAGTTTTGACTTGGAATGGAGAGCTTTTGATTAGCCACACACTGACACAAAGTGGGACAAAGTTCTCGTCATTTGATCGAATCTTCCGGTTAAAACTGTAATTCTCTGTATTCAAATTAAGACAGGTCCTGATCAAAACAAAGTTATGTGGCAGAATCATTACCACATCTAAAATGCTTTTGTACAGATTAGCTCATCTTAATGTAAAATGTCTTGAAACTTTATATGTTGTGGGGAGTTGCCAAAAATGCATGGATATATTATAACTGGGTGAAAAATGATTTTGGCTCACATAAATCAATATACATGTCAGTGGGAAGAGGAGAACAGTTGGTTACAATATGAATGCCTAGGAATGTCTAATAGTAGCCACGTCCACCTAACTTCACAAATATGTTGTCAGTAAAGAAACCAAGCAGCATTTTCAGAGTTCTTGCCTAATTTTTACATCATATAAAAATATGATGATGTGGTTTGATTGCCAATTAGACAAATTTTCACCAGAGACCAAATATGTAGATGCTAACGACCTTCAAGTTTTTCTTCAATGTATAATTTGTCCGTTTCTAAAACAATATATTTGTGTCTCTTTTTGGTAGTTATCATGAAACAAAGTTGGAATATCTAGTTTTTGAGTCAATGATTAGGAATGCTTGTGTAAACTATATACATTTTTGTACACATTACTATTGAATACACATTACTAGTATATATTGTATTGTCTTTATCTTCTTTGTTTTTTATTGGTCAAAAGTTATGTGAGGCAGTGTCTCAATAGATTCTACACCACTGTCCATATCGCCTTTAACGATGATGAATCAGGATTTCTTTTATAAAAGGTTAATATTGTATGGCAAAACATATATAAAATTGATCACCCAAAAAAATTAAGTCAGTTCGCATATTATTTTGCAGGATTGAATGATTTAAAATGACACAAAGGAGTTTCTCTACATCGACATGTAGAGTGGATTCATCACAGAGACGTTCTTTGACCTTAAAACTTTCAAATTATAAGCAAAAAAGCGAAGATGAGAATCACATTCATTCACAACCATACAGCAATGATTCAGACAGGCTTCGCCGAGTACAGAGTTTTAAGCATAACAGGAAATCAAGCAGGTATACAAGATTATTAGTGTGTTATTATGCTATCAAGGGACATACTGTTTTCTTGTCTGTGCGTTTATCAAGTAGTCAGTTCGCCTCTTATCAGGTTAAAGTTTTTGGTGAAGGTAGTTTACCATATAATTATGGTCACAACGTAGTACGCATATGAATGAAAAGAGATCTGGAATATACGCCAACGACAGCAATCTCACGACAAAAAATACAAAAGACACCATAATCAATATGTTGTGAACTGTTTAAGATCTATAAAAAACCTTAAAAAATATTAAAACCAAGTTAAAGTTTTGGTAAAAGGTATTATACCATGAAGCGTTGGTTGGATGAACTTGAAACTTAATACATATGGTCATTGTGATGTGAACTATTTAAATATAATGTATGCCAAATTAGGGTTTTCATCCAGTTTACGCGGTTTACTAGCCATGAAAATTTATAAGAGCGAGTGTGACATGGTGTCCTGTGACGCATATTCTTGTTTTGTTAACCGGATTTCCAACGGAAAATATCGGTTATTAATTTGGTGATGCACGGCGGGCGGGCAGGCGGGCGGGCTGGCGGGCGGGCGGGCGGACGAGCGGGCGGGCGGTCGGTCGTGCGGGCGACTGCCAAACAGTGTCCGTGCAATAACTTGAAAACGCTTTGACAAAATCTTCAAATTCAGATATGTTGTTTTCTGTGACTAAATGAAGGTCAAGTTTGATTATTACGATTTTAGCTTTTTCCGTTGTTGAGTTGTAGACCTTTAAGTAGCAAAAAGTGATACTTAGATATAATATTGGCCTTTTCATTTCTGAACCTTACAAAAATTTTTTTTTTTTTACTTGAGCCTGTTTGGGGGTCCAGATTTGCAAATATCATTAATGCAGGAAAATCCGGTTTTCTGTCAATTTGACAGTCTCTTGTTTTGTTTTTTAAATTTCAACTGCATTATTTTGATTAATTGGATACATTTATGTCAAATGTATTAACAATCCCACGCATTATAGTATTTAGAACAAAATGAATTTTTATTTGCGATTTCCATCTCTTAGGTCATAAGTTTTATTTCATTTCATACCTAATATCAATTTATTCAAACTAGGTTATTTTCAGATTTCATATGTTGCAAGGTCTTGCTTACTTACATGGCTCTATGGACCATGTGAGCTTTTGCCATCGCTTGGCGTCTGTCGGCGTCGTAAACTTTATAAAATCATCTTTTTTTAAACAACTGTACAAATTTCGACAAAACTTGAACTCAGCGATCCTTTGGGTATCTAGTATACATGTTTGTGCTTTTTGTTTCTGTCTGTAAACCAACATGGCTGTTATGGCTAAACTAGAACATAGGGGGTAAAATACATGAATTGTCTAATTATCTTGAAAACCATAATAAATAGAGAAAATCCGACCGACATCAAAATGCTCGGAATGTCAATATCTGTGTACTTTTTATTTCCACTCAAATTATTAAATGACTTCTTATAATAGTTTTTGACCTATTTGTGTGCATTTGACCCGATCTCGAAATTTATAATAGATATATACGTAGAAACTGTAAGGAGCAAAAAGGATAAAAAAACGAGGATCTACAAAATGCTTATATGCCCGAAACCATTAGAATACTCTTAACAGGAGTTATTGCCCTTAAATGATGATTTTCAAGTCATTTTCGGGTTTTGCCTATTATCTCGACAATTACATTGGCAGAACAAAAACTGTTAACAACAGAATGACAGCAATGAATATCTATAAGTGTGATGAATGACTGAAAATATTGAATGACTCCTAATACAAGGCATTGCCCTTTTATCTTATAATAATTTTCGAGTGTTTGCCTATCATCTTTAAAAGTATAAAGATAGGTAGAAACTGAAAACAGCAAAAATGACCAGCACTACAATATCTACAAAAATGCTTATATGGCTATAACAATTGGATTAGGTGAAATAAGGCTGAGGTAATCATTGCTCAGATTGTCAAGATCTACATACTTTGGAATCCCACTCAACTTATCAAATGACTCCTTATAGAAGTTATTGCCCTTAAATTACAATTTTTGACTTCTTTGTGAGTTTTGCCTATTATCTTGAAAATTTAAACTGTAAATAGCAAAAATTATCAGCATAAGAAGATCTTTAAAATTTCCGCATGGCCGAAACCATTGGATGACTCTTTATAGGAGGCATAGCCCTTAAATGACACTTTTAGACCAATGTTTTTGTGACCTACCGAATAAGACTTAACAACGGTTTTGTACTAACATAAGCAACACGACGGGTGCCACATGTGAAGCAAAATTTGCTTTCCCTTCCGGTGCACCTGACATCACCCTCAGTGTTTGTTGGGGTTCGTGTTGCTCAGTCTTTAGTTTTCTATGTTGTGTTTTGTTTACTGTCGTTTGTCTGTTTGTCTGTTTGTCGTTTTCCTTTTTAACCATGGCGTTGTCATTTTATTTTCGATTTATGAGTTTGAATGTCCCTTTCTTTTGCATAATGAACTGAATATATGAGTTGAAACTGCAAACAGCAAAAATGATCAGCAGTAGAAGATGAACAGAAATGATAGTATAACCATAACCAATGGACGACTACTTATCGGAGTTCCCCCTCCTTAAATGGCGAACTTTCGAGCTTTTGCTTTTTATCTCGAAAATTATGGTAGAGAGGTAGATCGTGTTAATAACACAATGATCAGCAATGCAAGATATATGTTTAACAGGTGAGCAAATCAAGCTGATAGGATTGTTTAAAATTTGGATTGCCACCTAGCAATTTTCTTTATGTTGTTACTAAAAAAGTCAAGTTACTTGTCTTATACATTTCAGGAGATCAAAAGTAATGTATCAGGTAAGTTTAATTAAAGGCTCAATGATATTCTTTTTTATTTATTTTATACCTACATTGTACTTGATGTGTATGAGTGTAAATAAAGTAATACGTTCGTTGACAACCAAACCATGTAAAATTCCCATCTACCAAAAAAATAAAAGAAAAAGGAAAACAAAGAGGTGATTGTAGTATGGAATAACTACAAATATACATGCGGGAATCAGGAGAATATGTGACTGGTCATCTTCCATAAAAATTGAAAAGTCGGTTTGATATTCTAATTATCACTACGTAAACTGATTGGTCGTTGTATAAATTGTGTCATTACACATACACCAATCTGATTAAAATCAGATATTTCACCATGTGCTTTTAGACTTGTTTGGCGCAGTGTGTACACTACACGTGAACAAACAAATCTAACGCCAAATAGTGAATGATCTTATTTTAATCAGTTTTCAAATACATTTATCTATAATCACATGTGTAAAACTTTCAGAAACTGATAAAAAACAAGACCAATACCGTGTACTATGGCCCTGCGTCGCTATGTATCGTTTAACATACAGATCTAAAAATTGCTTACATGCTATAACTCAACATTATCAAACTAAGAACGAAATATAAAAATCAGCCCCTTCCATAGAAGTCAAATAAACTTTAAACAAACTTTTCTACTCAAGGTCTTTAGGACTGACGGGCGGAGACGATCGGTTACTACCTTCGCCGTTGGCGAATCAGGTAACATATCGACGAAACATTATGTGAATTATTCAACCGGGTATACAGATGAACAAAAATAAATCATAGGGTCAATGACAGTAGTCTCACAAGGAAACATTCGTATGTAATGTCATAACACATAATCCAGAAACGAAGAACAGAAACGAGTTTATTTAATAGTGAGATGTGTAAAAAGAATGATTCGGCAGTCTAAATTAGTATTTGTTTTCTCATTCGTTTTTATTGATCCTGTTGAAAGGTTAACACATGATTTTTATAGTATAAAATCTTAGGTTCTACATTTGACAAAACAAGAGGCTCCAATAGTTGTATGTTTTTCGAATTTGGAACGTATTGTTTAATCAACACTGTGAATATTTATTTCATTGTTTTTGTATACAACAGAATTTTTTTCTATAATTTGCAACCACGTATAATGCAAGCCGTAGGTTTAATACCATCAAGGATAAAAGGGTTTAAAAATGTAATTCACATTTTTAACTTTTATTTCTTGGCAAACTTTTTGGTTTAATTCTAATTTTTAATTTTTGTTTTGCTATGATTCCTCTCGGCCATGCGAAGTATTGCCATCATTTGTCATCCTTCGACGTCGTCGTTTGCCATTGTAAACGTTTTCAAAAGTCTTTTCTTCTGAAACTTGATTCAACTTCAACCAAACTGGGACTGAATTATCCTAGTGTACCGTGTAATGATGTTTGATAAAGTATGTGTTTTTTTTCGTTTCTGCCAATTAACCAAGTTAAGCATATATCTATGCTAAAATTAAAGCATCAGGGTAAAATGCAAGTAATTGTCTAATATTTTAAAAACATACTAGTTATGTAAAATCTGATGGGACAAAATTGCCTAGAAAGTCAAAATCTACCTACTTTCTCTTCCACCAAAATTGTCATACTAATCCTTTTAGGGGTTTTTTCCCTTCAATGACGATTTTTTCCCATGTTTTGTATTTTGGCAATTACCTTGTTAGATCTTTAGTAGATAGAGAGAAAATAAAACAATTCACATGACCGAAACTATTTACATGTAGTAATCTTCATGAAGGAGTTTTAGACCTTGAATTACAAGTTTTACATTATTTTAAAACTGTATACATGCAAGTATACCTTTAGAAACTGTGAATAAGAAAAATAATTAGCAGGATAAGATCTACAAATAAGTCAACAAAACAAAATATGTAATGCATGTTTTTTTCTTTAGATGACGATTTTAATCCTTATTTTGTGTTTTGGCAAAGCAAGATCTACAAATAAATCATTATGACCGGAATTGTCAATCGACTTTCTACAAGAGTTAATGCCTAAAAAAGTGATAAACAAATACGACTTATCACCGAACTACTATAATTGACACGGTTGGTTAGCCTACTTCTCCGGTCCTTGTTTTTATAGTATCAAAAATATAAGTGTCGTGTAATCAATATAAGTTCGAATTTATCAATTGATTTATCTACTTATTTATTTCATTTAGTTTGTTATAATTATTGTATTGAGAACTAAACAAAAGCATTTTTCTTTCTATATACAAGGGAACTTTCAAAGGAGCCGTTGACTGACAATGTCGTCCACGTATGAAATTATGTAAATGCTTGAAAAAAAATCTCAAAATTGATGGCGTCATGTGTTTAAATAGTTATTGACCAATCAAATCGGTATAGGTTAGTTATACTGCAGAGCTCAGTGACTCTTTGACCTAAACTCTTGACTTCGTTCGGGTCAAGTATGGTCACCGACATGTAAGCTGTGAAGTTTAACTAACTTATACAGACTTGATTGTTCAATAATTTTTACCTATTTTCCTTAAATGATGAATTTTCACCCTTGATATGTTTTATCAAATTAAAATAGACAATGAAAAACTATTTACAAAAAACAAAATAAATGCCCAACAATATATAAGAGCTACATATAAATCAAATAAGGGAATTGTCAGTCGACTCCTTAAAGGAGTTATTGCCTTTGAAAGACATTTTACACTGATGTTGTTTGTTATTGGCTATTATCTCAGAAACTATAACACGTATAGATAGAACAAAAACTGTTATAATAAAAAAAGTTATTAGCAAGATTAGATCTTTAAGTAAATCAACACAAACGAAATCGTATAACTTTTCTCCTTCTATAATATGTTGCCTTAACTAACTGTTATAAATCTTTTTACAGTTTTGGGTATTATTTTCAACCGATTGCAATAAAGGTGAAACAAATAATTCAAATGGTATATTTTTGCCAATTGAGCGTAAGACTTTAATGAGCCTTTAGTTATTTTTGGGAATACACGTTTTTATCTGTCTTTTCAGGCCAAAGACAAGTCAATGATAAAAGTAACACTCTCTCCAGTCACACCTCCTGAAGGTTAGTCGATTATAATGTTAGAAAAGTTTAGTTCGCTACAAAACAGTATAAATATATATATAAAGATTAATACATTTGCATCTTTTAATAGTCCATAACGAGACCAATCATCGTTTTTAAACAAAGTCACCGCTTAAATCAATAGAAGGATTTTAACAATGATATTTGACCGTGAGGACTCAAATTGATGTGCAAAATAATATTGAATATATGTTGTTTAATATTTTGAAATTGCATATAGAAAGCAGCAGTTCTTACTGTTTATTGTAATCACTAATGTTGAGACTTGCAATAACACATATTGTCAGACCACAAATTCAAAACCCCTATATAAGCAACCAATTTCTTCAATTTTCACAGCTTTCTAAATATTTTTCATAGAAACCAACTATTACCTGAATTGTACATATATCACCTTTATATGTGACAATTTTCAACCAACGTATTAAGTCTTGTAGTGAAACAGAATTGTTGGGAAGTCAACTACTTCTAAAAATAACCCCTAATTTTCTGGAAATCTTAAATACGTATATTAAGGAGCGCATTAATCCTCAATTTTAATGCAAAGTCACAAATAATTTTTGCTAAAAATGGTATAAATAGTTTATGCGACTGTCATACAAGTGAGAGGTATAGCTAGCTATAAAACCAGGTTTTCCGTAATAAACCTTAGCCAACAAAGTATGATATCTATAATACTTGAGATAAAACTATATAAACGAATTTGTCGATTTTCAGGAAAACTCATGTCTCAAACTTAAAGAAATATAGTTGATTGTACTGGTTGTTTTCGCATTTACATATATACTCTTACCGGCATTAACTTTCTTTGGGATTATTTCCAATGCGTTTTGTTTACCTCGCAACCGTTACAAGTAATATTCCGGATTTCCATGACGTCACAAATATTTTTACCGAATTCTTTATTCTAATATGATGCTCTTCAAAGGCTTTGAGTACACAAACGTGGTGATATAAGAATATATTGTACGTCAAGTGATCGACAATGTTATGATTTGATTCGGCTGTTCCATATACTCCCACGTCGTAATCTTTTAATGAATAAGTTACCCGAGATCATGAGGTGTAAATGACGTCATTTGTTTAATTTGAATCACTCCCACTATGTTTGGTTAGAGGTGTGAAATAAAAAAAAAAAAAAAACACAGGTACATTTAGAAATAAATAGAAAAGAGTAAAACACCGAAAGTGTCAGTCCAGAAGATTGGACACCAAGAAACAAAAAAATCAAATAACAAGAACAACAAACAACGAGGACAATTTTGCAATGGAAACCAAAGGTATACGAAACAAGAAAACAATAAAACTAGGATAAACTATTGTATCCTGAAAGGGGCAACTAATTCCTGCTCCTGGTAAGAACCTCGACGTTATTCTCGTAAAGGTTATTTTCGGGAAATGGGAAAGAAATTTGTGATAAAGGTAAAAGGTTTGTTGTCATTCGGGACACACACAAACCATAACGATCTATGATCAGTTCGTGATACGACCATATTACTTACAAGGGGATTAACTCAATAGTGAAATAAAATCTCCTGGTTGAGTCAGAAGTTTGGCTCTGTCGATAAAAACTATGCAATGACAACAAGCATGAGGAGATAATCCCTCGATAAGAAGGTGCTGTGAAAATACTGCTACATAGGAACAGGAGGTTGATTCTGTATTGCTTTCAATCTATGAAGGAAGTAACTCGTCATTTACAAGGGTACTCTGAAGAAGAGCTTGCCTTGCAATTTCAAATAGAGATGTGACCTTGTCTTTTGACCTTTAAAATCCTTAGAATTCTACCCCTCTCTATATTGAATGGGTACATGAGGTATGGTAAGAATGGTTGAGTAACGCAAGCTATTCAGTGTCAACAAGTGTTTTGTAACAAACGGACAGACAGTCCCGTTAGAATATCCCCTTCACAACTTCGTTGCGCGAGCATAATAAAATAAAAACACATACAAAACATCCCAAAAAATTAGTTAATCGTTATTGACAGGCGATGCAGTCTGCCATCGAAGACTTGTGCATCATAAAATTCTGATGTGCATTGATCGAAGTAATTTTTACTTGAAGGTTTATAGAATCAGTGTAAATAGACGTATTAATATATGTGAAAAGTATTAAATGAGAGAGACGGAAAATTTTCTTTTTCAAAATAGTAATGGATATTTGATGTTATATTATACATGAATAATTTTTTTTATCCTCAAATGGTACATTTTCCCTTTGATCTTACTGCCTAATGTTTTTTCTATATCATGGATCGGACCTGATATTCGAAAATATTAGGCAATGATCTCGAAAATATAAGTGCGTCAACGTCATGTATTCATTTCTGTCCACCTCGATTTATCAATGAAATGCACGCGACTTCATTCGTACAACCGAACAACTGCCGCAACGTTTAGTACATGTAAGCATATTTTACTGACTACATTTGTATTTCATTTTATGGTCATATTCTTAACTAAAAAATAATAGATAAAGTTAGTATCAGAAACAAAAATGCCAATATTCTATATATGTTTGACACGACCCTTTCATTTCATCTGTATACTGTATGTACAATGACGTATTATTAGTCGGTGTCGAGAGTAATTGAACATGTCTTGTACTAAGACACAAGTCATAACTACACTTCAATAACAACAAACAAAATAATGCATTTAATCACGTGTACAACTACAGAAAAAACCGCTATGAACTACTATCAAAACCGCTAGTCTTAGACAACCTTTTCCCGCTATTTTCTGAAACGCGGAAAAAATAAATTATGTGAATGAACAATATTTGAAGATCTGGAAAATTAATAGGGTTCTTAATTTAATATCGTCTCATTACTGTTTCATATTCAAAACCTCGACAAAAGCGATATAGTATTTTGATTATGTTAAATATCTTCTTAATTTCCTATATTTAAAAGATAAAAAACTACTATTATAATTAATTACTTGTTATATTTCAGACAAATATGCAGACATCGAACTTCACCTTGCAGATACCAAGGGAGAGCCCTGTACACCGAAATTGTATGACAAGTCATTCAAGTTTTATGTGGACCAATACAATTTACAAAATCGTTTACCAGCAGGTATTTTTGAGTCTGTGTCATTGCAAATAAAATATTAGACTTTGCTATAATTGTTTACATGTTCAATCATTTAATGTTAAAACATGCGCATTTTACTTTTTTTCTTGAGAAGTATTGTGTTTTTTTGTCGTTTAATTGTCTCGTGTGCAACGAAAGTCACAGAATTCGAGACATAGTGATGCTATTCCAGCGGCGACGTAAAATGTTTGTATATAGCTTTATATTTTAGAAGGTAGAAAATCTAGATCATTTATACTCATATAGATGTTTTATGTTACGAAGTTTCCGTCTGTCATATGTACATTGTCCTTGATATCATTTTAATGGTACGGCGACTTTTTGTCAATAAACTCTTTACTACTTATGAGTAATGGAATAATTATATTTGGTATTTAGGAGCCTTACAAGGTCTACATGTAGGTCAGGCTTGACCTCGACTTCATTTTATAAAACAGTGATGAAGGTAAAAGTTTGATGATGAGATACTTTCTTAGATACTATTATCAAAAGGTCAACTATATTCGATGTATGGAATGATATCGATTGTATGGTAAACATGTCTGGCTGGCAGGTTTCATCTGACCTTAGCTTTATTTTCATGGTCCATTGGTCAATGTTCCTAATTAAGTCTTTTTCTCGGATACTATAGGCAATAGGTCAACTTTATTTGGAATATGGAATGATTGTAAGGCGTACATGTCTGTCCGGCATAGTTCATCTGTTCTTGACCTCATTTACATGCATCTTTGATAATGTTAACTTTATGTGATATTTGTAGTAAAACCATTAGCTTTTATCTTAATCAACATGAAATCAACCATGATCAGTAAATCAGGGGAGATATTTCAGCATGTACACTCTTGTTTATCTTAATGATGACTTATAAGTTATCTGCATGAAAGGGATAGAAACTAATTGGTTCAATAACTTGCAGCTTGTCATTAAAAAAAAGTGTCTGAAGACATATAAAAATATTAAAACACAAATAAAAAAAAAATCGAAATACGCAAAAGTGTTGAAAAGTTTTTTTTTCTAACTATCAATATAAAAAAACAACAGATTTTAACTAATTTTAAAATGAACATACTAATGAATTATATTTCAGATATTATTTTCAAAAAAGATATGAAAGAGGTGGAAAGAGTATCAGTTTTCAATCTGCTGAATATTGACAAGGCAACGACCATTGCGTGTGAAACGGTATGAAACAAACAGTTATTAAAAGAACACTCATCTATATAATTATATAGTATTCTGTAGTAGAGAATTGATAAGAAGTAGTGGATTCGTAAACGATAATCAACAAGCGACTTTACTCGCAAGTTGATTATCGTTTACGAATCCACTACTTCTTATCAATTCTCTAGCTTAACCCATTTCTAGTAAAAAGACTGTCTGTTTTATGTTTTGACAATGAATCAACGGAATTTCATAAAATGATTTCGTATTTTGTCTTTTTTATTCTATAATAGCTGGAAATGATTATATCCACACGGTGCACGTCTATATTTAAGTTAACATAAGTTTGATATAACTTAAATGGGTTGTTAGCTCGCCTTTTTATTACCAGATTTAATACTTGTATATTTATATTTCATTTAATGTTTTATCATTACAAAGTATTTAAATTATATAGATTTTGGTATTTATGATTTATTCAAAAATATACAGAATTTTTTAATCTTTTTTTGAATAGTTAAAAAAATCTAATTACCAAAATTTATATACTTTATATTTACATATATATAGTATTTAGCAATCTATGATTCTTTACAGCTGATTAAGGATTACCTGTAATTTAACCGTATTAAGTCAAATACATGTAGTTAGCGTAGTTGCCATAATACTACAATTTTATGATGCTCCAGTAAATGATTCTTTCCGAAATAAATAAAATAATTGCTGAAGGTCTTTTTTGAAAATTATACATGTATTTTGTTTAAACTGTTTCCCTTTCATTAAGTTTAGATTATTTTAACGTAATTACATTTGGCATCCATCGTAAACCAGTCAATAAACTAGAATTTTCTGTGGTACGCATTCTGAATCTCCAGCAAAATAGCATGTGCTGCAGATGTACAATGTATAATTATGTCAATTTTTTACTATTACATTGAATCTGTTCATAGCCGTGATCGTCTAGTCGTTGGTACCAAAAGACACAACTGTGATATTAGCAGTGCTAAGTTCAAACCTTGTACCCGAATTGAATTTTTCATTGCAATTTTTTTCTCGACAAAAATATTGTTTTAATCTTAGAGGTATTATATACTTCATATTCGTTTTAAGGCGATGATTTTGTTTCTGGTTTTACAGTCAAGGAAGTAGTTTTACGGTCGTAGCTTATATATCACACAAAGAAGAAAATATTGATAGTTCGATATCATTATAAGACTAAAACCTTAAGTAAGCATTTGCTATGATGAAAAGGAAAAGTCCTTGTACGTTAAAAGTGACATGTGTAATTGGCATATGGTTGTTTATTTTATCAAGGAACTGTACTAATATATACAATTCCTCGATTCTCTAGTGTTTAGAACTAGTGTGTAATAGCCACAATCGTATAAAGACCCATCGATTCATTATAACGATGTTGAAAATCGATCAATGTTCAAACCTGACATCGTGAATAAACTCTTTTTTTAAGATATTTCCATCCTATACTCAAGAACGTTCAAATGTAGAACATAATCTTCCTTAAAAAATAACGCATACAACAATTTACATAAATTTGAAAAGAACATGAACAAATCCAGACATAGTATATATATTTTATTAGATAACAAAAGCGAATTATCTCTGAGATAGAAATACAGTTTATTGACATGTATTGACAGTTGTGCGCTTTAAGAGTGTTATTTAAATATTGATTTATGTCAGCACTCGTGGTATAGTGGTATCATGCATAGACTGAAGACTCTACTGATTATGAAGAGATTACGCGCGAGTTCGAACCCTTCATATGCCTCTCGTTTTTGAAAAGATAAAAAGACGTAAGTTAAAAGTTTAAAGTTATAAAATAAGTTATCTGAAGTTATCGAAGTGGTCAGTGGATTCTTGAAAAATAATCTACCGTAAGAACAATAGACTGACGTCAGAGAAATGGGTTAATAATCAATAACTTGATCCTGTGACCAACATATTTTACAATACGTAAAGACGAGGTTTTAAGCATATGGCAAAAATTAAAAAAATTAAAAAAACAATGCATGAACATTAACAAAACATTTACATAATTATGTTTTTCTGTCTTCTGTCTATCATTTTTATATGCAGACATCTGAAATAGGGTAAACTCCCATCATAATATTTTGGTTGTTTTCTTTCCAGGTTGACCTCCAAGCATCCCCTCCAGAACTGTAAGCATAACTTTTAGTTGTAATGTACATGTATATTATTTTAATACAAACTACTTTTTTTTTATTTAGTAGTCAATGAAAACGCACAACCTTGTGCATTATGACTGATTTTGTTGGAAAATATGATTTTTGCATAAAACTATTTTGTAATATTAAAACCAATTTGAAACATTTAACATGTTTCAATTTGAAATAGGATTTATATGGTTCTTTCATTGTTATGATTCATTTGGATACAGTACTGCTCAGTGTACAATGCACAGTAACAGCCTTAGCTAGGTCGTTGTTATAACAATGAAATTCAAATCATCTATGCACGCCAAACCAAAACACAGCTAGTATACGGATGTAAATTACAATTTTTCTTACTTTTGCACAAACATGCTATAAAATACAATCAATAACTGACCTCCTATAATGAAAGGTTTTCACGGTTATATTTTTTATGTAAATTAACCATTAGTAAACATGTATTTTTGTTCTTTTTAAGTCACAAATAAAAGATTTATATTTGAATTCGAAAACAAAGATACCCGATTATCCGACTGTAATAAAAACAATATACATTATGAATCTTCTATTTTAAAGGGCGCTGCCTATTTATGTATGTTTATAATAAATACTTTAAATATTTCATCATTTTGTGTCTTTAAAATAACCTTAAAACACAAACATGAAGTATTTTATTAATTAAACATAGATACCTTTAAAAATTGTTTCAACCATCCCATAACTATGAAATAGAGGCCCTAAAGAGTCTGTGTCGCTCACTTGCATCTTCAACAATGGCTACTTTATTGTAAAAATCATCACGAAAGGGCAATAACTTCAATAAGGAGTCGACTGACGATTTCGATCATTTGCCTTATTTGTCGATCTTGTCCTGCTGATCATTTTTTCCTTTTAAAGTTTCTATCTATCTATTATATTTTTTTAATGATAAAAGGCGAAAACGCAAAAAAAATAGTTAAAATCGTCATTAAAGAGCAATAACTCCAATAATGAGTCGTCGGACTATTTCAGCCAATTAAATTATTTGTAGATCTTGTATTGCTAATCATATTTCCTAATAAAAGTTTCTTTGTAACTATCATAATTTTCAAAATAATAGACAAAAATGAAAATAATTGATCAATTTGATATTTAAGGGCAATATAACTTCTATAAGAATTAGTCTGACAGTTTTGACGTAAATGGACAGCAGGTAGACCTAAACATTCTGAACAATTCTGACCCTGTCAGATTTTCTCTATTCATAGCGGTTTTCAAGATAATAGACAAAACTTGCAGTCTACCAATAATTTCCATTTTTAGCCCTTTCGGCCATCTTGGTTGGCAGGCGGGGTCATCGGACACATTTTTTTAACAGTATATCCCAATAATGATTGTTGCATAGTTACGTAAAATTTGGCCCAGTAGTTTCCGAGGAGAATATGTTTGTAAGATATTAAGTAAAACGCAATTTAAAAAAAAATCATCATTAAAGGGCAATAATTCCAATAAGGAGTCATCTGACGATTTCGGCCATTTGTACATCTTGTCTTGCTGATCATTTATTCTGATAAAGTTTCTCTCTATCTTTTACAGTTTCCATAATAACAAGCAAAAATGAAAAAAAAAGGTAAAATTTGACATTTAAGTGCAATAACTCCTATAAAAAGTCGTCTGACAATTTTGACTTAGATAGACAGCAGGTAGATCTCAACATTCTATTCATAGCGGTATTCAAGATAATAGACACAACTTGCAGTTTACCCCTATTTAAATCACATACCCCAATAATGATTGTGGCCAAGTTTGATTAAATTTGGCTCAGTAGTTTTAGAAGAGAAGATTTTTGTAAAAGTCAACGACGTCGGACGCCAAGTGATGAGAAAAGCTCACTTGGCCTTTCGGCTAGGTTATCTAAAAAGCAACAAGAAGCCATATTAGACAAAGACGAATTACTACGGTTTAATTTTTGTTATGCAATTCTTATTCACAGCATTTATATTTCCATTAATTTATAATTTTGCAGCTGCACTTAAATTTAAGTCAAATGCCGTGAATTTTAGTATTATTAGGTGTAAAAGGGAAAACAAAACTGTGGTCAGTAATTTGTATTATTCGATAAGATTCTTTATTCAAACAAAAGACAGAATGGATATATATATCCACTCAACTGTGAAACATTCATCATATAATGGTCGTAAACAACGACCATAAGATTGCACACGTGAAGATATCGGGCTACTGTGTTGATGAGTCACTTCACCCTTACTTACATTTTATATTTTTTACCAGGACATTCTCGGATCTTAGAACATTTGGCAACGGTAAAGGGTTTTTGTGTGACCAAGAGGAAAAGTTTCAAGAGAAAAGAAAACTGTACATTCATACTGCTTTACAAAAACTACTTAATACAGCATTAAAGGGGGATGATGTAAGCATGTCCTTTTACTCTGAATTATATGTTTTCTTCCATCTGCAATCTTTTTGTTTAATGTACGTTAACGTATTTGAATGTTAGTATGAACTTCGGCTAAATGTTTATAGATTTTGCTTCAAAAAACTTTCAAATAGAAATATTTTCGTATTATTCGTATACCAATAGTTAAAACATGTTCTCGACATTTTGAAACATGTGGAGCATTCCATGTATTTATAACATACAAAATTATTAAGAATTAAGATGAACTAGTTTTATTATGAACGAGAAAAGGAAGAACAATCGTTTTGTCAATACAAAATTGTAAAATGATTAACCTCAAAGTTATTGTTTTAATGAATGAATAAATAGAAACAGAAAAATATATCGCTGAAAAAAAGCATGATAACTTATCTTAATACATAAGTTTATCGTTTATCTCAAAGGTTCCACATATAGCCCTGATGGGTTCAGGGGGAGGATACAGAGCTATGGTAGCCATGTCCGGAATAATGAATGCCCTTTACACTACAAAAATTCTTGAGTGCATTTTGTACACTGCTGTGTTGTCTGGCTCTTCATGGTAAGACGTTTATCTCTAGATTGATCAACAAGAGAAATATGTGTGTTATAACAGGCAAAGCATAATACGCAAACTGTTTTTTAAAAGTAAAGATTTCTAAATCATGCATTTATAATATGTGTAAGAAAGTCATGTAAGGGCAATACCTTCCTATATTTACAGTAGGTGTTCAATTCATACAAATGCCGATCTTAAATTGGCTGAAAGACGATCATTGGATTCCGTCATATGCTTTCATTTCGTTTGAAAGCAACTCATGCCATATCAAAGCAACCAAAGATTATAGAATTATTAGCTCATTAATTAATCAACATTATTTTTTTGAATTGTTTGTGCTCTTCGTGCAAACTATTATGTTTTGAAAAATATCTCAAATTTTATTCATTCGAAGAAAGTAGTTGACAATATATCAGGTAAACATTGATAATTGAGTAATCAAATGTGACTTACCGAATAAGACTTATCACCCAATTTGTACTTATCTGTGCAACACGACGGGTGCCACATGTGTAGCATCTTGGGTCAACCCGGGTTTTTGTTGAGTACGTGTTGATCAGTCTTAAGTGTTTTGGGGTGTTTTGTAGACTGTGTAGACTGTTTGTCTTTTTGGAGTATAATGGTATGACGTCGTCGCATCGTCGTCGGCGTCGTTGTCGTCGTCAGAAGACATTTAGTTTCCAGACAATAACTTGAGTATAAGTGTATGGATCTCTATGAAATTATACCACAAAATAAAGGTTGGGATTGATTTTGGGGGTTATTGTTATAGCTGTTTAGGAATGAGGGGGCAAAAAGAAGCAAAAAAAAAGCATTGATCTTGTTTCAGGACAATAACTTGTATATAATTGTAGGGATCCCTATGAAATTGTACCACAAGGTTCCATACCTCAAAGGAAGGTTGGGATTCCTTTTGGGGCTATGGCCCATACCGTTTAGGAATTTGGGCAAAAAAAGGGCAAAAAAAACTAGGACTTTCTGGTTTCAGGACAATAAATTGAGTATAAGTCTATGGATCTCTAAGAAATTGTACCACAAGTTTCCATATCAAAAAGGAATGTTGGGATTGATTTTGGGGTTTGTGGCCTTAACCGTTGAGGAAAAAAGGTCCAAAAACAATACTTTTCTAATGCTTAGTATAAATTGCTTATTTCTTGACCACTTACAATGGGGTTTTATTCAAAGTATTGAATTCTTCGGGTTCTTTAATATGCCGAATCTAACCGTGTATTTAGATTTTATATTATGTGCCCCGTATCTAAATTGGTCCACATTCAGGTCCAAAGGGTCCAAATTAACTTCACGTAGGTTCTTAAAAGGCCCATATGGCCCTAAAATTCCGCGAAACTTAACTCATGTAATAGAGATAAAACATTTGATGAAAAAACATGTAAAAATATCTGACAACAACAAAAGTAAGTTTGTTTGCTTTTCAGTATAAATTAACTTTAAGAATGCTGTGCATATTTTGTTTGATGAAGCGAACCCCTTTGAAAACTTAGCTAATATTTTCCATTAATAAATAAATTCATTGAATTATTGGTGTACTTGGATATGCATAATCTAGCCGTGTATTTAGATTTTGGATATTGGACCATAATAGGTAAAAGTCCAATTTCAAATTATTCAGTTCTTTGACCATATTCAATCTGTGTCAGAAACCTATGCTGTGTCAAATATTTAATCACAATCCAAATTCAGAGCTGTATCAAGCTTGAATGGAGTGTCCATATTAGGCCCAACTATTCAGGGTTCTACCTCTGTGGTCGTATCAAGCTGCGCCCTGTGGACCATTTTATTGTTTTTGCCATGGCATTTTCATTTCGTTTTCGAGTTGGAATATTTCTTTTGTATATTCCGCATCTCTTCTAAATATATAACAATAATTATTATTATACTTCATGTCAAAATGCCAGATTTTGATTTAGTTAATACGAGGGAGACAGTTTACTCTATCCCATGGCAAATACTCTATTATCCTTCACGGAGACGCTTGCTCAAGTGTGCGCTTTAATAAATACGGATGATTGCTATGAACAAGACGTCATAATTTATTACTTTGAATTTAAAATTTATTAGACAGTAATAACAGAACATTCAGTATAATAAATTAAATAATACATATCTGAGAGGGTGATAGAGCAGATTGTTACCCCTTGAAAAGACATTGTCAACCTTGACTTCGCCTCAGTTGACAATGTTTTCTCGGGGTAACAATCTGCTCTATCACCCTCTCAGCTATGTGTTATTTATATATTGTCTTTTGATATATGTTAAAATAATTGAAAGTGGATAAATATTTTACGAGCTATTTACCTTAAAATCAACATTATTCTTATATGCCAATTTTATCTATATGAGTATCATAATTGATTTCATATGGAATGATACTGATTTCATCTTACTAGACAAATTCTGCGGAAGTTTTGTGTTATAAGTTTACTTTCAGATTCAAATGTGAATAACATATATTTGTTTGTTTCGAAAATCTGTAAGAATAAGAATTGAATTTATGTTTATTTATATTTTTAAAACTAAATGAAAGCAAGTGACCATCACATTGTGAGCAAGAATTGCATAATGCATAATGTGATGGTCACTTGAACGTATTTCACATAAGTAAATAAACTCAATTCAATTATATTATTAACAACAAGGTAAGAGTTTGGGTCATGTGACAATCATACAACGATGATCATTTTTCCTGTTACAATTTCAGATTAATGTTTTTAAGATGGAACAAAATCCATTTAATTTGGAAAAGAGATGCGAAAGATACCAAAGGGACATTCAAACTCATGAGTCAAAAATAAACTGACAACGCAATGGCTAAAAGAGAAAAAGACCAACAGACAAACAGACAAACAACAGTACACCAAACACAACATATAAAAAAAAGACTGAGCAACACGAACCCAACCAAATAAGAAAACTAATAGTCTTGTTAGGTCAATAACTCGTAAAAAGAGTCAATTTTATTTCATGCTTGTATTTTCAAGCATTTTGTATTAATCGAGACTACATAAGTATTAATATAACGCATTGCTTGACTGATACGATGTGTCTGCATCTGTCGATTCACGAGTGACATGTTTTCCTGGTATTAACTTTTATGATACATGAGTCTGGATTCGTTTTACATGTGTTGCATATATAAAAAGGGACGCTTACTGTGTAGACGCATCCGGTTCCGCTAATGTTTTCATATTTATCTTGATCGGTATGTTTTGAAATGAATTTATGGAAATTTTAACATCGTAAAGTACTCATCATTTAAGAACATTACTCCTATGAGGGGTCAATTTATTGAATCAAGCAAATTTATATTTTTGTGGATCTTTTAAAGATGTTAATTGTTTGAAAGTTCAGGATATCTTTTATAATTTTGAGGTTAATTGGCAAAAACGACAAACTTGTTAATAAAGTTGCATTTTTGAGCAACAAGTCTTTTAAAGATTTGTCTGATAGTTTGGTGGAAATAGAAAGTAGACGTTTATTGGCTTTATGAAAATTTTTATGCATTTTAGATTTGTCTATTTATCATGGTTTCAAGATATAAGACAGTTATTTGCATTTGAGTCAAATGTTTAATTTTTAGCTTTGTTGGTTGGTTGACGGAAACAAAAACCCAAAATTTGTATAAGCCACTCTTAAATTATTCATTACTTTATTTTATGAAATAAAATAAGTGATATCTGGTTCAATATGTATATCTTTATTTCATAGGTTCATTGCGACGCTATATTCGCATCCTAAATGGCCAAACATTGATCCTAAGGATATTCAAGAACAAATGAAACATGATATATCTACAGACCCTAAAAGTATTTGGACGCTATTTTCGTATGTGCCGGATTGGGTGTTTGGTTTCTTTGAAAAGAAACTGGCAGGAAAAGCATGGAACTTTACAACGGATATATTTGCACCAATGTTGGGAAATGTACTTATACCAACAGTAAGAATAGTAATGATAATATGAAAAATTGTAATGATATCAATCGCTTGATATATCAAAACCAAATATATTTGTAATAAAATTTATCTACCACCTGTGAGTAAAAGACATTTTTTTCAGTGTTTTGCAACAAACAACGGGTAAAAAAATCGCAAAAAAAATTGCACTGAATGTGTACATGTAATACACAAATATATAAATGTAATTAGATTGAAATCAACTAAATTTCACCCGAATAAATAGATTTTTTATTAGATGATATTAAAACGTATCGTTGATTTTAACTACTGTAATGATTGAAGGACATTTTATCGATATTTACTGATGCATTATTATGATTTCTTCTTAAAATTATACTTGTATAATGTTTGCTATACATATACTGGTTTTTAATAATCAATTACTCTGATTAATTCCGATATTGTTAACAGTGTGCCCCATTTTAACTTTTTGGCTTTGGCAGAAATTGATATCACTTTGTATTTTTCTTCTTTCTCTTTCTTCTGCTTTTTTTTTAAGTGTACAATTGTGTGTGGAACTTATTATCTCAAACAGTGATTAACGTTTAATTATTAGCAAGATGATAAGGGAACAATACTATACCATGGAACAATTATTGATACTAACATTTTGCAGTTCAGTAATACACAGTACGACAGTAATATGTCAACCTTAACCTCTAGTAATAAAATAGACTTTTCTTCCTATTTATGGTATAGTAAATGTTGTAAGGACATGTCTAACCAGAATAAATATGTATGATATTCTATAATGGTAACAAAATTGATCACTAATTAGTTTCGTTTTTTTTTTAGAGGTTAAAGTGTAAATGGAGCGAACAGAAAGATAAATTGTCAGAGGGAACTGTTCCACTTCCATTATTGTCTGCTATTCATGCAAAAGACGAACAGAATGCGAATGAATTTCATGGTATGTAGACATAGTATTAATATCTGTATATTTATATAATATAAATACACAATGCATGCGGTACTTGTTGCCACGATACCACAGAAGCAGTAGCTCGAATCCCACTGAGGGAAGAATTAAAATTTGCTAACACAAAGCAGGACTCAAATGTTTGGCTAAATTTCAGACGAAGTAAATATAAACTGTATTAACTATTTGATAAAAAAAAATATGGATGTGAATGCATGGTAAGTAAAATTATCATTCTTCACAACACACAACAGCTCATCTGCAAAGTATACCATATACTTGCCACAATGCATCATGTACTATATTACCTCTTTAGGTAAAGCCGACGAGAAAATGCGTTTATCGTCTTACAAAAGCTATAAGTTATACCCTAGTTGGCCGTGTGGTATAGGGCGCTAGACACAGTGTAGGTGGGACAAGGTTCGAATCTCGCAGATGGAGGAAAAAAAGCTACTGCAAATTGGCAGGTCTAACATTGTTCGACTAAATTTCAGACGAAGTATAAATAAACTGTACTTCCTTTATGATAGAATAATATTGATGTGATTGCATCGTATGTAAAATTATCATCTTTTACAACAGTCAAAAACAGCTGATCTGTAAGGTATCCCATATACTTGCCACATTACATCATGTACTGTATTACCACCTTAGATAAAGCCGAAGAGACAAAAGGTACTAATCGACTAACGAAAGCTATATTTTATATAGCATAGTTGGCCGAGTTGTCTAGTGTGCTAGCCACAGTGCAGGCGGTGTTTCCACGATGTCATAGAAGCAAGAATTCGTATCCCGCAGAGGGAAAAACAACAAAAAAATGCTAATACAAATTTGTCGGTCTAACATTGTTGGAACTTGATTTTAGACGAAATATATATAAATTGTGGTGTAAGTCCTGTATAACTTTTGGAAAAAGTCTCTTTTGAAGTTGTCACATATTTGGAGGTATATATATGTATATGCTTTTTCGATTAGGTGTAATTATATTTAACAATTATATAAAGAGATTAATGCATAATAAATCAAAGAATGGACGCACTTTTTGATAGGATATTGTTGGCTTTACAGTGCAGTTCGTGGCGGAGGGGGCATTAAGTGTTACCCTTGTCCGTCCGTACGTACGTCCCCAAAATAGTGTCCGTTCTCTAACTTTAGTTTGCCCCAACTAAATGTTATGAAATTTATACACAATGCCTATTACCACAAAACACAGATCAAGTTCAAATTTGGGTGGCGTAACTTTTATTGTTCTTGAGTTATACCCCTTTATAACGGTATATGTAAGCGGGGGCATCATCTGTGTCCCATGGACATATTCTCCATTTATTGTTATAAAGAATCGTATGGTAGATCATCTATATTTGAAATTCTGTGGAATTAGCAAAGGATTGTCAAGCTTGACACCTAAATCAGGCTCCATTGAATGAGAAGCAAATTTCACATTTGGTGTTAATTATTTAAATGACGTGATTCTTGAAATAATTTAATCAACGTTGTTAGCTCTTGTGAACATGTACTTATAGAACTTTTATTTTTCTTTTTTGCGTAGATATTTATTCTTTTTTTTCTGAGACCATGTATTGTTTTTGTGGCATCGTTACCATTACTTCAATAGTATTAGATGATTAATAATTGCATAAAGATAAGGTATCAGACAAAGTCTGTTTTTTACAGCAATATTTGCATATTTGATTTTCATATCGGAAAAAAAACCACTCGTATGTTAGATATTCTTTCATATGGTGCTAAATGCGAGTATTCCTGAACAGTTTTGGTGGCAAAGATTGCATTCATGCAATCAAAAACCTTATGTGTCTGCCTAGATAGGTATCAATTTTCAATACTAAAAAAAATAGTCCAATAAGCACAGCATTGTATACATCATGTCAATGTATATTTCAAGAAATCTATCAATAACATGTTAACTCAGATATTCAAGTTACAAAATGATGTTTGTGGTTATAACCATATTTGTCAAGAATATTACATTAATTGTGGATGGTCTGTTGTACAATGCTTATTAACATTTTTATTTTATATGATTATAGTCTCTTAAAGCTCATACAATTCAACACAATGTATATTTCAAAAAATCTATCAATAAAATGTTAACTCAGATATTCATGTTACAAAATGATGTTTGTGGTTATAACCATATTTGTCAAGATTATTGCATTAATTGTTCATTTTCAACCAGAATGGGTAGAGTTTTCTCCATATGAAGTAAGCATTCCAAAATATGGAGTGGCAATTGAAATGAAAAATTTTGGAAGCAAATTCGACAAAGGACTACTTACACAACAAATCGATGAAATCCCCCTTTTCGAGATAATGGGTGAGTAAGGATCATAAGACCAAAATCAAATTGTTATTCGTAACATATGTGTTCACACGAGACCGTTCTTTCATATCATAAATTCTCAATACAATAAAGTATTTAAACAAAAACAATCGAGCCCCGAAATGTTCTGTCGTACTTATACTATAAGTCATAAAGAATTAATTAAATTGAACATCAGAGGAAATTTAAAAGGAGAATGAAGTTGTAATAATCTACCAGAACATTACTAAATGACAGATCCAGAAAATAAATTATGGATAAATTAAGAATCTAGCTTATAATTTCCCTTGTATTTTGCTTACTTTTTGCTGTCATACAAAATTATTATGCAATCTAGTTTGTCGGGGTTTGATTTTGGTACAAATTAATGATGTCGATAATGTCTGTAATCATTTATTCATTAGCTGGTAAATTTCGCCGTACTTTCAGGTATATGTGGGAGTGCTTTTACATTAACTCATGAAGAGTGGGCGAACAAAGGTAGGAAACTTGATATGTTCATGATCATAAAAAAAAACATTTCGTTCAAGCTCTACCAAAGCGACCATCCATATAGGAAGTTACTATCACGTATAATCTGTTTTTTTATTATTTTTAAATTATGATCAGATTGGACAGTAATATGGCATGATGCTAAACATCTTAATCAGTACTTTTATTAACAAAAAAGGTTTTCATTGTGTGAGTATAATTGTTATATCATCAATATGCATTTCCTCCTCTTGTTTGATTTGTTTATGTGTCTTATTTATTAAATTGTACAATTTCGTTTGCTGTAGATTCTAGTAATTTTATAAAAAAACAGACAAGTGTTAAATCAAGCAGGCAATATTCTACTACCCAACACAAAAAAGAAAAACAATTGGATAAAAAAAAGTCTGTCGCTTTTGACGAGGTGGACGGTCCTCCCAGAAAACAGAATAACTATGATAACGATATTGAATCATCTGAATTTGATGTTCTTGAAAGTGGTTGTACTCCTCACAGAATTTGTGTAGACTTAACGCCCATTAAAGAATCAAATGCGGATAACTTTACTGAAAATGATGATGTTTTTGATGTCGGAGAGATAGAACAACGGCAAGAAATGGAAGATTTGTTTAAAAGAATTTGCCAGATTCGCCAAGAAGGCGGTCGTATATTTGAAGAGGAAAGAACCAGAAATGAGAGAGTTGTTGGTGATAATTTTAAAGAAGGCATAACAGAGGCAGATGAAGTTGATGGTTTATTCGGCGACATGAAACTTTGTGCAGAGAAATTGTAAGTGTATCTTAATTGTCGATTTGAAAAAATCGAGTAGTTTCGTCGGACATCGAGTCATGTTTGAACAAACTTTTTCTACCACTTCACACATTGTTATACAATACTTCTCCCCTCGAAAAAGTATTATTTTAAAATTTAACTGTTGAGAGTGGAAAACTATCATATTGAACGAGATTCGTTGGTGGAATCTGCTTTTCTAAAGATTTTAGACGACATTTCTTTTTCAGTGATCTGCCAAAGCATGTATTTTTCCTCATCAGACATGGTCACCCGTCTTCGTGACGTCACAATAGCAAATAAAGAACTCAAAGCAATCGAACCACATTTTAATAATAGAAAATAAACAAACGGCCAGGGACAGTATAAATAGGCTAGGAATTATAGAACGGGTCTTGAAAATGAGTTTTTTAATATAACTTATTTGTTGCATATGTTACCTAAATGACATATTAGCTTTAATGCATGTTGACATAATTTTCAATCAAGTCTGACAAATATCGTCAAACAGATTACAGAAAACACAATATTTAGTTCTTTTTAGTGTTAATTTCTTTTAATAAAAAAAATAACAAAAGGAGTTCCTTTGCAGGATGTCCCAGTAGCTACAGCTTTGTAGCGGCGCGAGTCTGTACCTGCCTCTTCAGACATTTTCATGTTTTACTTAATATATTATATACACAAATACTTTTGATTATTGATGAACGACGCTTTAAATGCACACATCAATAAGACAGCTTCTCAACAACAGAAATAAACCAACCATATAGTTTCATAGACGTATGTCTTTACAACATTTTAAGTTTCAAATCGTTCCGAGTTTAAAAGAAAATTGTGAACGAATTAAACAGAAGTTACCAAAGATCTTACACGAATACTAAAAATCTCTAAATAAAATAAGCCATTAAGATATGAAATAAAACAACCATAAGACTAGTGCTTACTATCACTTCATTTTAACTCTTGTGGATAGTTGTATCATTGGCAATCACACCACATTTCCTCATTTTTATACTGAAGAGATTCTCGACTGATATAGGCACTTTAAAATGTGTCAAGGTTGAACTCGTATTTACTCACCTGGAACAATAGGGTCATCTGAGGTATTGATATTACTTGATGTCCTTCGTCCCGTCGTCATCCGTCGTCGTTGGCGAAAACTTTTTCAAAAATCTTTGCTGAAACCACTTTGTTTTTTTAGACAAACATTATGTGAATGTCCATTGAGGTGTTAAGTCGATAAAGTGTATCTGGGATTTCTATGGAAGGAAATGATTTTATATATTTTTTCTGCAGCTTGATAAATTATAGGTGTAGCGTGTAAGACAGATTTACATTCGTAGTGCAGCCACTTCGTGCTAACCGATAGTTTGAAATTAAAAAAACTTTTCGCCAAACTTTTCGTGGCTCTTATGGAAGGGATTGATTTTATATTTGATCTGAAACTTGATAAAGTTGAGTTATAGCGTTTAAGACCTTTGTTACTTACTTTTGCCGTGCAACAACTTCCTGTTTGCTGATAGTTTGAAATTTCAAAGCACTCATTGTACAACGAAACTTTTTATCAAATTTGTCTTATATTGAATGATTTTAGGTGTGACAGTAGTGGTTTTGCCATCCATATCGTAATAAATATGATTTGACTAAGTTTCTGGTCTCGACGTTATCAGATTTTTTTTACCTGCGTTTATTTTATCTCCTTTCATTGATTATAAGGATTTTAGGCCCATATTTGTTCAAAGTCTTTAAGTTTTCATTCATTTTATTCTCAGCTCATTTTATCGTCAAACTGGAAGTTGGAATAAGCTCGTGCGCGAACTTTTAGGACTTGAATTTAATTGGTCTATTTTAACTATTTTAATCAATCAGAGCATGATATGTAAAAATCATTCGAAATCTTTCGGGTGGGTTTTTATTTTCATATCATAAAAGCTAGGTATTTTACGAAGTTAAAACCTGTGAACTGTAAAGGGTTCATTTAAGTTTTGAAAGTCAGACGTTTTCTGCTACTTAAGTCTGTATATTTCTCATATTCATTGGTCTAAAGGCGACAGATATGTTACCCGAGGGAATTATGTTAAATTCTACTTTTTGAGACCGTTTACTTAGTTGAATACCAGAGAGGATTGTTTCGTCTATTTATATTGGTATTCAAACTTCTTTTTCTTAGTATAAATTTTGTTAGATTTTTATTGATACTGTCGTTAGGTAAACTGTAACACGAATCCTGGTTTAAAGTAATTAAATAAAATAAATAAATAGAATTTGTTTTATATTTGAAGCTGATTTAATTTTGTACTTAGTTATAATAACAGTTGTAAAAATCTTTGTTTTCCAAGCCTACAAGCATCCGAGAGATACGAACCAGGACGGGTACTCCACTACACGGTCCAGGACTAGTCCCGACCGAACCCCAACGTGTACTGGGACCTTCTCCTGTTACATAGGCAATGATCGATTATATTTCAGTATACATGTTCTCTCAAACAATTACATACCACGAGGGAGGTTCAGACATGGTTTTGTACTTGTTTGGTTTTTTAGATTCAACACTGAGGCAACTCAAGTAAAACTGACATTTGATCAAACAAATAGCAGGTCAAAACCATCTACAAATAAATTGCATTGGACAACATTATTAGACGTTTCCTTGTAAGAGTTGATGACCCTTAAAAAACGATTTGTAATATAAATTATAAGAAGATGTGGTATAATTGCAAATGACATCACTCTACACCACAACTAAAGGCCACCTTAGGTCTTTAATAATGAGCAAACGAATACTGCACAACAAGCTATGAAAAACACCGAAATTACAAATGTTAAACAAATAAAACGACAAAAAATGACGGCCTGTATAATATAAAAACAATAAACATTTTTACTGGAAACGAACATAAAAATAAAAAAGGGGAAAATATTTAAATCTGCCAAAGGATGCAATATCTATCAAAAACACAAACGAAAAAACAATATGAATCACTTATTGATGTCATTGCATGGTAAAATATGTCATCGTATTCCATCATATTTCTTTATTTCGTTTCACTGTTGTTTTATTTGTGTAGCTGCATGAAGAGTAGACATTATAGGGCGGCAATGGTGAATAACTTTTTGCGGAAAGTGTCTTTTGATAATACAGATAGTTGCCTTTTGCAAGGAGAGACAAATCGTAAGTTTGATACTCAAAACATTTAAAGCAATCTTTAACTGATTAGAGCATAAAGGCGATATAATATCTGATTGCTAATATGTTTGTTTATTAAAAAAATTCTAAGAGCAATACAATCGTTGTCCAACATATATTTTGGGTATTGGCTAGTATCACTTGAGAGTTGTACATTCGCCACCTATCTCGTCTTTTCGATATTTTCACTCAATGGCGGAACCAGCTGTATGATGTTTTTTTCAACATTTTTAATGAAAACATTCATATTTACAGGTGTATGGCGATAAACAGTATGCTTAACCATAAATTCCGTTGTCAAATAATATTTTCCTTTACAAAATTAACAAAAAATATATGTCTTCTCCATACTTTTTGATTGAAATAAGGGCGATAATTGGCTTCTTCCTGTTTACAAAATTTAACATCAATTTAATGTGATTATTTCGTCGTTGGTTCAATTTATCTTATATATATTATCGGTACCAATAATATTGCACCAGATACGCATTTCGATAATTAATGTCTCTCCAGTGATGCTCTGGGCCAAAATATATTGAAAGTCCAAGCCTTCATAAAAAAAACGTCGAAGAGCTGACAAAACCATAAAGGACCAAAAGTAAAGCCAAAACCAGCGCTATGCAGGAGGGAGATCAATAATAAATTTAAAATTATTTCAAATTTTATAAAAAAATATTTAAATAGAACAATATCCTCATTATAATAAAGCAAGGCGACAGTAATTTAACAATGCTCAAATCTGGTAAATCGATAAGTAAAATATTAATCAAGGTAACAAATAAAAACTAATGGAATCGTATGAATTCGTAAAGGAGCGAGACAGGTTCCGTCGACATGGTAAGCGAGACAGGTTCCGTCGACATGGTAAGCGAGACAGGTTCCGTCGACATGGTTAGCGTCACCTGCTGTGCATGTATCACTCGCCATGTGAATTCACACTCATACATACTGTCACAATCGAGAAAAGGAAACAATCGATAAAACTACATATCAAAAGACTTTATTATTTTTATTCGAGCATCATTGATTAGTCTTATGTAGATGAAACGCGCGTCTGGCGTACCGTGAGAAACGCATTTTAAATGCATATAAAAAAGCAGGTTCATTCAAATCAAAGAGTTTTATTTTTTCAGCTTTATTTGAGAATTACTTGAAAAATGATATTGAGAAGTTATGTTTGATCGATGCTGGTTTAGCGTTCAACTCTCCGTATCCACTTCTCTTCAAACCCGGTAGGGATGTAGACCTCATCCTGTCATTTGATTTTACAGACCGAAAAAAAGATTCCAATGATCCTTTTAAGGTAATAGCATGTGACTTAAACATGAAGATATATTGTGAATGCCTTTACCACAAATAACTATCTATATTTATATACATATATACATGTCTCTTCTCCCAAACATCAAATGGCTATTTAAAAACCTTATTGGTATGATTTTACAATACGCAGTGAAAACAAGTCTCATCTTTGTTTCATACTGTCATTGTCATCTTTGTGTGTAATGAGATTACAAAAAAAAACAGAACAGAAACACCAAAATTCTTGAAGCCGATAATTTATCTGATAGAAGTTAATTCATAAACTCAAACCGACCCACTAATATTTACCCATGGAATCGTCAGAAAACGGAAAAGTCTAAAGCGGAACAGAATTAATTCTGACGAACCTGATTCGTAAAACCTGGCCAATATTATCGTCAACGCGAAGTGCATGAACACTCTATTAATAATCTATTCTGAAAATGATATTCTACGCTAGTACTATCCTGAACTTATTTCACAAATACTGAAAACCTCTTTTTCACCCGTAGTGATAAAAGGGTTGCGGTTTTATTCTTTGTCATATTTATTGACCAATTTATTTTTTTTATACTATATTATGTTGCTCTTGTTGCACACAATGTGTGCCTGAGTGTATTAGTAAACTAAACCAAACTTAATTTGAGATTTCAAATAACTGTTCAAATCTTTTCATATTTCACATAGTCTTACTTTTTTACTTGTTTTCCGCAATTTTCTTTATACAAGTCCGTATCTTTTAAGGTGATTTTCGAAAAAAAAAAATAAACTGGTTTTCGAAGAAAAAAAAAACACTGATTAAAATGTCAAAAATTGAAAATATTAACAAAAATTGTAATGCACTTGTATTACACTTCACATTAGAAAATTGTTGTTTAAGTAAAAGCTAAATTAATTGCGTTAATCCGATGAAGATAAAACGTGTTTTATGTTTTTAGACATTACTAACAGCAGAAGATTGGGCAAGAAAACATGAGATTAAATTTCCAAAAATCAACGTTGACAAGTATGAAGGCAAGAATGTGCAAGAACTGTACATTTTTGAAGATGAAAATGATCCCGAATGTCCTATTATCATGCATTTTGTGTTGGTGAACAAAGATTTCAGAACGTACAAAAAACCAGGTAGGCAGGTATAAAATATCAACTAACAAAACACCAGGTAGTCAGGTATAAAATACCACCTTACAAAAATACAGGTAGTCAGGTATAAAATACCAACTTACAAAGAACAGAATATACTTTGAACTAAACATTTATGAAACACTCTGCTTTTTAATGACTTTCTTTGGCCATATTGATTCTTTGTTTTTGAAAAATGTACTTCTTTAATGAAACGCAATATCAATTAAGAAATTTCACTTAAATTATGGCCTGACACCGAAAATTTATTACTGATATAATTTGCTGCTTCTTAAGGGGACTGACAGCGCACCAGCAACGAAACACAACGGTATAAGTACTGAACTAATATATATTAACTAGTATGCAGATAAAAGATATAACAGAGATATGAAATTTAACAAGCAATAAACCAATAAACAAATTTCTAATTTCTTTTTATCAGGTTAGCTCAAGACCAAGAGTTCAGAATGCTAATTTCACATAATTCAATGTATGATAAAACGCAATTAGTATTAAAGATAAATTATGAACTTGAGAACTCTAAATCTGTAGTAAAATATTCATATATATATAAATCATTTCCGTATCAAATTAATGAATAATGAGTTAACATCATACAAATAAAATAAAATGAGAAGTTTATTAATCAAGCCTTGTATCGTAGGGTTTCAATGTTTTTCTCCGGTTTTCGTGTCCATTTGATATATGTATGAATAATTATCTTACCTCATAACACTACTAGGAATAGCATTGGTTAAAAGCAAACACGTGGAGACCGTGAATATTCAATATTTGGTCAGCGGTCGTGTTTTATTTAAAAAAAAACGGCTTATAGTGGTGTTACGTCCCTGTATAAAACAATACACGGTTGGTAGTATAGTTACGTTCCTTTTAAAAAAAACGTTGTTCTCAAATTAACAAACATTGTAAAAATACATAATTATGATATTTACATGCTTTTAGTCAAAACATGTCTTAGAGACGCTGATTTTCTCACTGTAAATAATTGAATGGTGTTAACATTATGATATTAAGGTTTACAACTATGTCTAATATAAGTTAGTCGGTAAGATAAAATCGTTACACAGTGTGCTAGTAACCTAATACGATATATTCAGGGTCAGTAAATGCCATATGGGATTTACTAACCCTGTATTTATAATAATATTATCACAATAATTATTTATACTTTAGGAGTCAAACGAAAGGAAAGTGAAAAAGAGTGCGCTAACTTCACTGTATATGATGATCAGAAAACATTCAACTGCAAAAACTTCCAGTACAGCGCTGAAAACTTTGAAAGATTGTCACAACTTTCTGAGTTCATAGTTCTGAATAATATTGTCCATATCAAGGCCTGTATAACCAAAAGCATCCAAAATAAACAGAAACGGAAACAGACTGGCCGGCAAAGGCATCCATCGTCTCCTGTGTAACATTATCTACTTGAATGGAATAGGACAACCGTCATAACTATATTCATGATGATTTTATTTTCGTTACATGATATATTTATCAATATGACATTCCTTTTTCTATATGTCATAGTGATGCCCCCTTTTCATATTAGTTTATTCCTTTCTGTGTTGATATTAGTTTAACATTTTAGAGCTTTTTCACTATATATGAAAAAATGCATTTAACCTTATAATAGCATTTCGTAATACAAACTACTTGATACCTTCAAGTTGACTGCAAATAGCAATGTTTAGTCGACAGATGGCAGGCAATTAATTGCAAATATATATTTTCAGCTTTCTTTCATAAGTGGAAGATTGTGTCGAAAAAATACTTATTTACTATTGATTTCCAATACTTAAAACAAAATTATTTGGTATCGGTTATATTACGTTAGGATTATAACGATATTCAATGAATGAATGAATTGATATTTCATTGCATAAGCAAAATTAATGCTGTAGTAAAATTGCAAAATATTTGTAGTGGATATATAAAATTAAAAGAGAACAGCATAATCAAGTCATAACAAGCACAGAAATACAACTATTATGCAAATATAATCAGTGATCCTAGCTTCCATGCCGCAGTTAGACATTTACACAGTTTTCGGTAAAATTCTTTGTGCTAGCTTGCAGCTCTAAAAGCAGTCATATTGAAATATGAACAGACGTTGTCGAATATTCAGTTTGAGTGTTTGATTTGTTGGTTTGTTTCAACTGAAAGTGTTTATGCAGAACGACTAACACAATGTGTCCATTAAAACTTCAAATTTATTCTCCACTACATATATAAATTAAAACGCTAAGCCTCATACAAACAATATGACTTTTTGATGGTGATATGTTTTTGTTTTTCCGTGTGAATTTTGATTATATATTTATATACATATAGATTTCCAAACAATGTATTTTTAAAATAATGATATTAAAAATAGTGTATATTTATATATCAAATATTTTGTTCTATCTTCAAGGACAATTAGATATTTATGTTGGGTAAATATTGTGTCATATTAACCTGTTTTAGAGATATGAAATTATTTGAAATCTTTACAAACCGAAGGATTTTTGTTCATAAATGTAAGTTTCAAATCACCTACAGAAACAATTGACTGTATCTTAAGAGTGTCAATAAATTTTCTCAAACGTGCCTCTTAATGAATTCAAGCGACGTATTTCTGTCTGAATAATTAAAAACAGTTAAACAATCGGGACGAATAAGATTAAAATGTTGTTAAGACATTTGTCTATTGTTTAAGACTGTATGTTTACGTCTTATGGCTATTTTTGTGTCATTGACGTATACCAGGAATCTCTTTTTATTCATAATTACCTATTTCATACCACCAAGTTAACAATGACGGACATGATTATACCTTCGAACTGCAATTCAATACATGGTTGTTATATTGGTTGTTTGATGTTAATTAGGGCCTTTGTGGCCGAGTTGTCAAAGTAGTTCAACTACTATATCACTAGCCTGTCAACACTGAACGTTGAGAGTTCGAGTCCAGCACGTGGCAGGTGCGTTCGACTCCATCTTTATTGACTAGGATTGTCAGTTTTCTAACCAAAGGTCGGTGGTTCTCACAGGGCACTCCGGTTTCCTCCACCATTAAAAATTGGCACTCGTGAAATAGCTAACAGTGCTGAAGGGGGCCTTAAGCACCAATCAATCAATCAATTTGATGTAAAGTTAATAATGATAATTCAATATTAGGAGTTGCTTTGTGTAGCTGTAGATATAGGAAGATGTGGTATGAGTGCCAATGAGACAACTCTCCATCCAAGTTACAATTAATAAAAGTAAACCATTATAGGTCAAGGTACGGCCTTCAACAAGGAGCATTGGCTCACACCGAACAGCAAGCTATAAAGGGCCCCAAAAAATTATGTGTTTAGATAAAAGCACTGAACCTGTGGAGATAAGACTACAATAAGACTATGAAACACAAATGTACATGAATATTATATCGGTAGCTGTAGCTGTACTTGGCTGAATATGTCATGTAGAAACGTTAAAATAGAGCGGGCAGACACGACGGTTTACAATCCTCCGAGCAAAACTATACAGAATGTCAATCGAAAAAACAAACGGAACATTTATGTTTTGCATCAAACTAAAAATAAGCGAATTGATATTCATACTGACATATACTGTATGCAATTATTGAACAACAACAGTATGATTATCACTTTTATCAGTATGCTCATAAGGTCAATAAAATTGAATGACATTTCCTTAACTCTTTAGTAAAAATGTTGGAGCTTAATACCAGTTGATCAGTTTCTGCAATTGATACTTCCTCGCCTTTCCACTCTACAATAACATTAATAGTGCCAATTTGATTGCCTCAGATGCGTATCACAACAATCACTGTCTCTTCTATGATGCTCGATGCTCTGAAAGCTGATACAACAGAAAAAAGACCAAAAGTACAGCCAAATTCGAACAAGTATAAAAAAAAAGTATTGACAAAAATACTAAACTCCAAGGCTAATTCAAAAAGGGGAAGGTCTATAAAAACAACAGAATGAAGGGAAAACAACTGTAATATTCCTGACTTGGTACAGGCATTTTCCGAGTAGGAAATTTACGTAGGTCAAATTTCGGAAAAGGGGGACGGGATTGCAGTTACGATATTAGGAACATATCCGCTATCATCTGTGAAACAGATATTCCATAACGGTCAACCAACTCGTGATAGAGTCCGTAAAACTTACGAAGGGTTGATTTCAACTTCACCACTTGGAACTTTTGGTTTAATAGCTTCCTTGTGAGCAGCAACCCTCGTTTAAGCAACGCACGTGTTTGAGGCATAGTTTAACGTCCAAACATTTCTTTTAATGATGGTCTAGAATAAAAAAACTATTGTTAAGAAGAAAAATATTCAAAAGTAAGAAAAATCTCTGACTTTAGTCTTTATCCTTCAACTAGACGGAAATGATCTTATAAACTATTATAGATGAAACCCGTGTTCCCCGGCAGAAGTAAAAAAATATGATTTCATGATCTATATTGCAATTTCACAGTATCTTTAAAAAATGAATGTTTGTTATTATTGAGTGTTTGTTCATTATGATGCAGAATAAAAAATATTTGAATTGTTTTACATTTGTCATTTCTGGGCCTTTTATAGCTGACTATGCAGTATGGGTTTTGCTCATTGTTGAAGGCTGTACGGTGACCTATAGTTCTTCATTGTGAAGAGTTGTCTCATTGGCAATCATACAACATCTTCTTATTTTTATATAACAATGTGACAAACTGATTTTGTTTTGTAAGAAAAGATGAAAATTGTAAACGAAAAATATGCTTATGCTAGTTGGCGAAATTTTTTTTTTAAAATGGCGACAAATATATTGTTTTGGCGAAAGCGGTGGTGAAAAAGAAAATTGACCCAGGGGACACCCTGATGCATGGTATAATATTTATTTCACTATTAACTTGGAAGATTTGTATGTAGACCAATTTCTTAAAAGAATACTTAAATAGTATCAAATCGATGCCGTAAAGGTTCTTAGTAGAGATTTACTCGTGTGAGTTGCAAGTCCATATTTAAAACTTTAGTAAGTTCTACCATTGCATTCGTCTTTTTTTATAGAAATTCTTCTGAGTCAAGGACAGGACTCATCAGGGTACTTTACCGAGAACCCTGTCTATGTCAGATATTTTAACTAACTAATTAACATTCATGAAACCTTAAACTCAACCTTAACGCTATAGTACAAACCACAGGGACATCGAATGAAAAAGAATTCTTAATCTACCCATACAATAATTTCTGTTAGTTCTTGACATTAAGTTATATCTATAGCTGGAGGAAGGACACCCTTTGACTGTGTAGGGTTTGCAGTGGAGAATTAAAGCAGACATTCAATCTGATGCAAAGCTATGTAAGTTATATCCAAGACTCAGCATGATTAATCTATGTAGACTTGTGGTCTATTACAATACATTTTTTTGTGCACCATCTAGTCAGTTTTACAATTATTGTCTCTTACGTGATGCTCGAGGCCAAACAATTAAAAAAACCCAAAACCTAATATAAACGTTAAGGAGCTGATAAAACCCATAGAGGATCAAACTTAAATTTAATAAGCAATGCATGTAGATTACTTATATTTGTTGTTTGGAATGATTATAAGGTGTTTGTCTGCTGGGTTTATCTGATCTTAACCTCATTTACATGGAATATTTAATTATTTTGATATATATATAAATACATATATATGTACAGGAATTATCATCTACTTATTTTTTTCAGTTTGATTGAAATAGAATAGCATCCTGTAATTATACTAAAAGAGATGGGTAGATGATCATTCCTGTACACTTAAAAATACTTTGTGTATTGCGTTTAGACGTCCTTGTTTAATTCCTACGAGAAGGTAACATCTCCCGAAACGAAAGCTGATTTTTATCAGCTATAGTAAGAGGAGGGGATAAGGCGTTTGCGCAATGCTAGACGGTGTTGTTGTAGAAGTATGAGGTGAAAAGTACAGGTTCTAGCCTCGGTCGGGGAGGAAGTGAAGAATCAAATATACTCTTAAATTGTTAGGTTGATTTTCTAGGCACTTTATAAATATCATAACGCCTGGTATTTCTTAATCATAAGAAATCCGATGGACAAGGTATAATTAACAGTTGTCACTACACATAAGCAGACACATATATATATATAAATATATATATAAATAAGTGCCTATAAATAGCAGAACAAGACATACAAATCTATCGGAGTGTGGATTAATCAGTACAGAGATTAATTCAATTACACAAATAAAATTATAGATTGCCTAACAATGTAATTTTAACACACTATTTAGTATGTAAATATAAGAATGTTTAAAGTATTTACAAGATGTAAATATTTTAAACATTCGTATATTAACATACTAAATAGTGTGTTAAAATTACATTGTTAGGCAATATATATATATGTATGAAGAACAACGGTGTACGGTGACCTATAGTTGGTAATTTCTATGTCTTCATTGTGAAGAGTTGTCTCATTGGCAATCATACAACATCTTCTTATTTTTATATACAATGTGACAAACTGATTTTTTTTGTTAGAAAGAATGAAAATTTTAAACGAAAAATATGTTTATGTTAGTTGGCGAAAAAAAATGTAAAGTGGCGAAAAATATATTGTTTTGGCGAAAGCGGTGGTGAAAAAGAAAATGGACCCAGGGGACACCCTGATGCATGGTGAAATATTTACTTCATTGACCCAGGGGACACCCTGATGCATTGTATAATATTTACTTCACTATTAACTTGGAAGATTTGTATGTAGACCAATTTCTTAAAAGAATACTTTAATAATATCAAATCAATGCCGTGAAGGTTCTTAGTAGAAATTTACTAGGGTGAGTCCCAAGTCCACATTTAAAACTTTGGTAAGTTCTACCATTGCATTCGTCTTGTTTTTAGAAATTCTACTGAGTCAAGGACAGGACTCATCAGGGTGCTCTACCGAGAACCCTGTCTATGTCAGATATTTTAACTAATTAACATGAAACCTGAAACTGAACCTTAACGCTATAGTACAAACCACAGGGACCTCGAATGAAAAAGAATTCTTAATCTACCCATACAATAATTTCTGTTAGTTCTTGACATTAAGATATATCTATAGCTGGAAGAAGGACACCCTTTGACTGTGTAGGGTTTGCAGTGGATAATTAAAGCAGACATTCAATCTGATGCAAAGCTATGCGAGTTATGTCCAAGACTCAGCATGATTAATCTAGACTTGTGGTCAATTGAAACAAAAATTTTGTGCACCAGATAGGCAGTTTCACAATTATTGTCTCTGACGTGATGCTCGAGGCCAAACAATTGAAAAAACCCAAAAACCTAATATAAACGTTAAGGAGCTGATAAAACCCAAAGAGGATCAAACTTAAATTTAATAAGCAATGCATGAAGATTACTTATATTTGTTGTTTGGAATGATTATAAGGTGTTTGTCTGCTGGGTTTATCTGATCTTAACCTCATTTACATGGATATTTGATTATGTTGATATATATATAAATACATATATATATATGTACAGGAATGATCATCTACTCATTTTTTACAGTTTGATTGAAATAGAATAGCATCCTGTAATTATACTAAAGAGATGGGTAGATGATC